CTGCCCATCCTGCAGCCCTGCCTGGGCTGGTTCTGCCCTGGATCACTCCCAGTGCCCATCCCACAGCCCCTGCCTGGGTCAGGGCTGGTTCTGCCAGGGCAAACCCTGGGTTCACAGCAGGACAGACGCCCTCCGTGTGTCCTGTGTCCCTGCCCAGGCTGGTTCTGCCTTGCTGAGCCCCAGGGCTGGGCTGGAGGAGGTCGGTGCCCTCCCCAGAGCCTGGCACATCCCCTGGCTCAGGTACCAAGCGCTGTGAGCAGCCCCTGGGCCACCTGCAGGTGCCCACCTTGGCCTGGGCATCTCCATCCCAGAGTGAAACCACAAACGGTGCCACCCTGAGCCCCTCAGTGAGCACAGGGGGCACTGATGGGCACACAGGGGGCACTGATGGGCACACAGGGGGCACTGATGGGCATCACCGGGTTGGCACCGGGGCAGGAGCTGCTCCAGCATCCCCCAAATCCATCCTGGTGCCACCCTGGACAGCCCTGCCCGCGGTGCTTCCACCCAGAGCTCCCTGGTTTGGGAGATACCCACACCAGGCAGGAAAACCAGGCAGGAAAAACAGTGAGGAAAAACAGCAAAACCAAAAACCAGCCAGGAAAACCAAAAACCAGCCAGGAAAACCAGCCAGGAAAACCAGCCAGGAAAAACAGCCAGGAAAACCAAAAATCAGCCAAAAAACCAGTCAGGAAAAACAGCCAGGAAAAACAGCCAGGAAAACGAGTCAGATAAACCAGGTGGGAAAATCAGCCAGGAAAACCAGCTGGGAAAACCATCAGGAAAAACCAAACAGGAAAACCAGTTGGAAAAACCAGTCAGGAAAATCACCCAGGAAAACCAGTGAGGAAAACCAGCCAGGAAAAACCAGCAGGGAAAACCAGGTGGGAAAACCAGGTGGGAAACCAGGTGGGAAAACCAAAAACCAGTCAGGAAAAACCAGCCAGGAAAACCAGGTGGGAAAACCATCAGGAAAAACCAAGGAGGAAAAACAGTCAGGAAAACCAGCTGGGAAAACCATCGGGAAAACTAGTGAGGAAAATGAGCTGGGAAAACCATCCAGGAAAACCAGTCAAGAAAACCATCCCAAAATCCATCAGGAAAAGCAGTCAGGAAAACCAAAAACCAGCCAGGAAAACCATCAGGAAGACCAGGTGGGAAAACCAGTCAAGAAACCAGCCAGGAAAACCAAACAGGAAAACCAAAAACCAGTCAGGAAAACCAAAAACCAGCCAGGAAAACCAGGTGGGAAAACCAGTCAGGAAAACCTTCTGGAAAACCATCAAGAAAAGCAGTCAAGAAAACCAAAAACCAGCCAGGAAAACCATTCAGGAAAACCAAAAACCATCAGGAAAACCAAAAACCAGCCAGGAAAACCATCGGGAAGCAGGAGCAGGGCACCCCAGGGCACAGCAGGAACGGGACCAGGAACGGGTGGCCAGGGTGGGCACGGGGGGCACACGGGGCGCATGGGGGGCACACATGGGGCACACGGGGTGCATGGGGGGCACACGGGGGGCACACGGGGGCACATGGGGGGCACGGGGGGGCACACGGGGGCACACATGGGGCACACGGGGGGCACACGGGGCACTCGGGGCACTCGGGGGGCACACGGGGCGCATGGGGGGCACACGGGGCGCATGGGGGGCACACGGGGTGCATGGGGCACATGGGGGGCACATGGGGGGCACACGGGGCACACGGGAGGCACATGGGGGCACACGGGGGGCACTGGGGGGCACACGGGGGGCACATGGGGGGCACATTGGGGCACTCGGGGGGCACACGGGGGGCACATGGGGCACACGGGGCACATGGGGGGCACACGGGGGGCACACGGGGGCACATGGGGGCACACGGGGGGGCACACGGGGGGCACTCGGGGGCACATGGGGCACACGGGGCACACGGGGGGGCACACGGGGGGCACTCGGGGGCACATGGGGCACATGGGGGCACACGGGGCGCATGGGGGGCACACGGGGCACACATGGGGCACACATGGGGCACACGGGGGGCACACGGGGCGCATGGGGCGCACACGGTGGGCACGGGGGGGCACACGGGGATCATGGCGGGCACACGGGGCGCATGGGGGGCACATGGGGGGCACACGGGGCGCATGGGGGGCACATGGGGGGCACACGGGGGGCACACGGGGGCACACGGGGCGCATGGGGCGCACTCGGGGGCACAAGGGGGGCACACGGGGCACTCGGGGGGCACTCGGGGATCACACGGGGGCACTCGGGGGGCACATGGGGGCACACGGGGATCACGGGGGGCACTCGGGGCACACACGGGGGGCACATGGGGGGCACACGGGGGGCACACGGGGATCACTCACCCTGTGCCGGGCGCTCTCCCCCCGCACTGAAGGAGCCCCCGAGGGGCGGCCGGGGCCGGGGCCGCGGTGGCCGCAGAGCCCGCAGCGCTCGGGCCGGGGCCGGAGGAGTGACAGGGCACAGGGGGACGACAGCTGAGCCGCGCCGGGGCTGACGCCGGGAAATTGGAGCCCCGGCGAGCGCCGGGCGGCAGCGGGCGGAGGAGGCTCCGGTTATTTGCGTTGGTGGTTGCTGGGCGTGCCAGGGGCCCCCCCAGGCTGGGCCGGGATAAAGAAGGAACCGGGCACGGAGAGGGCTCGGGGATTTGGGCACACAAAGGGGTCCAGGAGCTGGGCATGGAAAGGGTCCAGGCTCAGGGATTTGGGAACTCGAAGGGTTCCAGGAGCTGGGCACAGAAAGGATCCAGGCTCAGGGATTTGGGCACATGGAGGGTTCCAGGCTCAGGGATTTGGGCACACAGAGGGTTCCAAGCTCAGGGATTTGGGCACAGAAAGGATCCAGGAGCTGGGCACAGAAAGGATCCAGGCTCAGGGATTTGGGCACCCAAAGTGTTCCAGGCTCAGGGATTTGGGCACACAAAGGGGTCCAGGAGCTGGGCACAGAAAGGATCCAGGCTCAGGGATTTGGGCACCCAAAGTGTTCCAGGCTCAGGGATTTGGGCACACAAAGGGGTCCAGGAGCTGGGCACAGAAAGGATCCAGGCTCAGGGATTTGGGCACAGAAAGGATCCAGGAGCTGGGCACAGAAAGGATCCAGGCTCAGTTTGGGCATTGGAGGTTGAGGGTTTGGTGGGCAGAGGGGCAGCAGTGGGGTCTGGTGTGGGGTGGGGTGGATGCCGGGCACCCCCTGGCACCAAATCCTCAGAAAATTTCTGAAAAATTTTCTGAAAAATTCCTTTCCTTAGGATTTTTCCTTCTGAGAAGCTGAGAGGCCTCAGGAATAAAATGTAGCCATTGATTATCTGCTGCTGTGGAATGCAACAGGGGCATCTGGGATTGGTCTCATGTGGTTGTTTCTAATTAATGGCCAATCACAGCCCAGCTGGTTTGGACTCTGAGCCACAAACTTTTATCATTTTCTTTTCTATTCTTAGCCAGCTTTCTAATGAAATCTTTTTTTTTTTCAATTCTTTTAGTATAGTTTTAATGTAATATATATGTATTATTATAAACATATATATATTACATGATATAATATATATGTACATTATATAATATATATTATATGTACATATATATGTATATATATGTACATATATACATACATATATATATAATATATGGATATTATATTAATTATATTATATTATGTTATATTATATACATATATATGTATATATATTATATGTATGTATATACATATTATATATATTATATTATATTATATTATATTATATTATATTATATTATATTATATTATATTATATTATATTATATTATATACATACATATATGTACATATATATACATATACACACACACACATATATATATATACATATATATATATATATACACAGGTATCATATATATATATATACATATATATATATATATATACACACGTATCATATATAGTATTATTACATGGAATAAAATAATAAATCTTCTGACACACAGAGTCAGATCCTCATCTCTTCCTCATCCTCAGCCCCCTGCAAACGCTGTCACCGGGTCCCCACTGCTGCCAGGCCACCCTTGGGTCCCTGCCTGGCTCTGGGTGGGCCCAGGGTGGGAGCTGGAGCCAGCCTGGGTGGGTGGAACCCCCCCTTTCCTGGCAGCTCTTACCCGTCTGTCCTCGGGAATTTTGGGAGCATCCCTGGCCCTGCCAGGGGCTCTGGCTGTGCCACCCCAAGGCCCTGCCCCTGTCCCTGTCCCTGTCCCTGCCAGCTCCAGGTGCTGCCAGCAGGAATGTGATGGTTCCTACCAGGACTCATCCCTGCCCTGGAATTCCACAGCTGGAGGAGAGGCTGTGAACATCAGTCAGGAGAGTCCAGCCCAATCCCAATGCTCTGATGCCAGCCTGGATCCCCATTTTGGGATCATCCCTGCCCCTGCCAGCTCCAGGCCAGCAGGAATGTGATGGTTCCTGGCACTCCATGCCCTCATTCCTGCTCTGGAATTCCACAGCTGGATGGAGAGGCCATGAACATCTGTCAGCCCCAATCCAAATGCTCTGATCCCCATTTTGGAATCACCCCCCTGTCCCCTCACCCCACTGAAGCAGCACAGAGCCCCCAACCCTGACACAGAACAGGAATTTACATTCAAATGATGGACAGTTTTCCTTTTTTTTTTTTTATTTAAAAACAACCCCCCCCAAATAAAATAAGACCAAAAAAAAAAAAAAACCAAACCAATTTCCCCCCCCCCTCCCCCCCCCAGCAAAATAATAATTCGATTAAATAATAAAATGTGCAGTGAACATACCAATCAACACCTGTATGTGAGGTCCAACACAGTGCTTAAACAAAAAACCATGGGCACAGGGGAGGGGGGCGGGCATGGGCATCACTCCAAAAAAAAAAAAAAAATTAAAAAACAACAACAACAACAAAAAAAAAAAAAAAAAAAAAAAAAGAAAAATGAAAAGAAAAAAAAAAGAAAAAGAAAAAAAAAAAAGAAGAAAAAAAAAGAAAAACCACAAAAAAAAAAAATCAACTCCTCGTCTCTTAATTATGTTCATATAAATATATCAAGGAAGGAGGGCGAGAGGAGGGGAGGGTGGGAGCAGAAGAGGCCCCGGGGCAGCGCCCCTGGCCGGGCTCTACTGGGAGCTCGCCCTCTCCAGCACCCGCAGGTCGTAGTTCTTTTTGGCCACGCGCAGTTTGAAGCGGCTGAGGGAGTTGTTGAGGCGCAGGGAGGCGTTCTGGGCAGCCAGGGGGCTGGGGAACACGGCCACGATGGTGTATAAGGCAGCGAGGTCACTGTGCCTGCCGTTCTCCGCAGTCCCGCTGCTGCTGTTGTTGGTGCTGTTGGTGTTGTTGGTGTTGTTGTTGTTGTCCCCGCCGCCTCCTCCGTCCCCGCGGCGCCCCTGAGTCTCTTTGAGCCACTGGATTTTGGCACCGGCCATGGCGAGCTGCGTGAAGAGCTTGTCGGCCTCTGTCCGTGTGATGCCCTCGGGCAGGTCCGTCACCTCCAGCACCCGGCCCAGCACTGCAGGGCCCGAGCACAGCGTCAGACCGGCTCTTTAAACCTCCCAATCTGTTCTTTTAAACCTCCCAATCTGTTCTTTTAAACCAGCCAATCTGCTCTTTTAAACCACCTCATCTGCTCTTTCAAACCACCCAATCTGCTCTTTTAAACCACCCAATCTGTCCTTTTAAACCACCCAATCTGTTCTTTTAAACCACCCAATCTGTCCTTTTAAACCACCCAATCTGTTCTTTTAAACCTCCCAATCTGTTCTTTTAAACCTCCCAATCTGTTCTTTTAAACCACCCAATCTGTCCTTTTAAACCTCCCCATCTGTCCTTTTAAACCACCTCATCTGCTCTTTTAAACCACCTCATCTGTTCTTTTAATCCAGTTATTCTTTTAAACCCTCCAAAGCACCCCTGAAATGCCCCATCCCGATCCCCTCCTTTGTGGAAGGGATCCCAATCCCCTCCAATTCTGGTTTTGCTTCAGGAGGAGATTTGGGTATTCCCACACCACCTCTCCTGGGCACAGGAACCTGCCAAGCTGCCCCCAGCTGGAATTTATTATTTTAAACCACTCAATCTATTCATTTAATCCAGTTATTCTTTTAAGCCCTCCAAATTACCCCTACCTGCTCCCTGGAATGCCCCATCCCAATCCCCTCCTTTGTGGAGAGGATCCCAATCCCCCTCCTGTGCCCACAATGCTGATTTTGCTTCAGGAGATTTGGGTGTTCCCACAGCCACCTCTCCTGGGCACAAGAACACTGCCAAGCTGCCCCCAGCTGGAATTTATTCTTTTAAACCACCCAATCTGTTCTTTTAATCCAGTTATTCTTTTAAACCCTCCAAAGCAGCCCTGCAATGCCCCATCCCAATCCCTTCCTTTGTGCAGGGGATCCCAATTCCTTCCCCGTGCCCACAATTCTGGTTTTGCTTCAGGAGATGTGGGCACAAGAACCCTGCCAAGCTGCCCCCAGCAGGAATTTATTATTTTAAACCACCCAATCTATTCATTTAATCCAGTTATTCTTTTAAGCCCTCCAAATTACCCCTACCTGCTCCCTGCAATGCCCCATCCCAATCCCTTCCTGTGCCCACAATTCTGGTTTTCCCTCAGGAGGAGATGTGGGTATTCCCACAGGAACCCTGCCAAGCTGCCCCCAGCAGGAATTTATTCTTTTAAGCCACCCAATCTGCTCTTTTAAGCCAGAAATTTCCCCTCCAAAGCACCCTGCAATGCCCCATCCCAATCCCTTCCTGTGCCCACAATTCTGGTTTTCCTTCAGGAGGAGTTGTGGGTATTTCCACAGCCACCTCTCCTGGGCACAGGAACACTGCTAGGCTGCCCCCAGCTGGAATTTATTCTTTTAAACCACCCAATCTGCTCTTTTAAACCCCCCAAAGCACCCTGGAAAGCCCAATCCCAATCCCAATCCCAATTCCTTCTTGTGCCCACAATTCTGGTTTTTCCTCAGGAGGAGATTTGGGCACTCCCACAGGAACCCTGCCAAGCTGCCCCCAGCTGGAATTTATTCTTTTAAACCACCCAATCTGTTCTTTTAAGCCAGAAATTTCCCCTCCAAAGCACCCTGCAATGCCCCATCCCAATCCCCTCCTTTGTGGAGGGGATCCCAATCCCCTCCAATTCTGGTTTTCCTTCAGGAGGAGATTTGGGTATTCCCACAGGAACCCTGCCAAGCTGCCCCCAGCTGGAATTTATTCTTTTAAACCACCCAATCTGTTCTTTTAAGCCAGAAATTTCCCCTCCAAAGCACCCTGGAATGCCCCATCCCAATCCCCTCCTGTGCCCACAATTCTGGTTTTCCTTCAGGAGGAGGTGTGGGTATTCCCACAGGAACCTGCCAAGCTGCCCCCAGCAGGAATTTATTATTTTAAACCTCCCAATCTCTTCTTTTAAGCCCTCCAAATTACCCCAACCTGCCCCATCCCAATCCCCTCCTGTGCCCCCTATTCTGGTTTCCCTCAGGAGGAGATTTGGGCACTCCCACAGCTGCAGGGACCCCAAATCCCCCTGGTGTCCTGTGCACAGCTCAGGCTGTCCCAGGGGCTCTGGGCTCTGTTCTCACCCCAAACCCTCCGAGAGCAGCACTGGGAGCCCAAACCCCACAGGGCCACCCTGATCCTGGCAGGGAGAACAGCAGCACCCATGGAGGAGGGGGGGGCACTGGGTGTGTCCTGCCCTGGGGTTCCCAAATCTCTGCAGCTCCTGGCTCTGCCCAGTGGTTCCCAAATCTCTGCAGCTCAACCCCTCCTCTGTGGTACCCAAATCCCTCTGCAGCTCCAGCCCTGCCCTGGGGTTCCCAAATCTCTGCAGCTCCAGCCCCTGCCCTGGGGTTCCCAAATCCTTCTGCAGCTCCAGCCCTGCCCTGGGGTCCCCAAATCCCTCTGCAGCTCCAGCCTTGCCCTGGGGTTCCCAAATCTCTTTGCAGCTCCAGTTCCTGCCTTGTGGGTACCCAAATCCCTCTGCAGCTCCAGTTCCTGCCCTGTGGTTCCCAAATCTCTGCAGCTCAACCCCTCCTCTGTGGTACCCAAATCCCTCTGCAGCTCCAGTTCCTGCCCTGTGGTTCCCAAATCCTTCTGCAGCTCCTGGCTCTGCCCTGGGGTTCCCAAATCTCTTTGCAGTTCCCAGCTCCAGTTCCTGCCCAGTGGTACCCAAATCTCTGCAGCTCCAGTTCCTGCCCTGGGGTTCCCAAATCCCTCTGCAGCTCCAGCCCTGCCCTGGGGTTCCCAAATCTCTGCAGCTCCAGTTCCTGCCCTGGGGTTCCCAAACCCTTCTGCAGCTCCAGTTCCTGTGGTACCCAAATCTCTGCAGCCCCAGCCCTGCCCTGTGGTACCCAAATCTCTGCAGCTCCAGCCCCTGCCCTGTGGTTCCCAAATCTCTTTGCATTTTCCCAGCTCCAGTTCCTGCCCAGTGGTACCCAAATCCCTCTGCAGCTCCTGGTTCTGACCTCTGTCCCTGCCCTGTGGTTCCCAAACCCCTCTGCAGCTCCAGCCCCTGTGGTTCCCAAACCCCTCTGCAGCTCCTGGCTCCAGCCCCTGTGGTACCCAAATCCCTCTGCAGTCCCAGTCCCTGCCCTGTGGTTCCCAAATCCCTCTGCAGTCCCAGTCCCTGCCCTGTGGTTCCCAAATCCCTCTGCAGCTCCAGCCCCTTTCCTCTGGTACCCAAATCCCTTTGCAGCTCCCAGCTCCAGCCCCTGTGGTTCCCAAATCCCTGTGGCAGCTCCTGGCTGCAGCCCTGGGCTCAGCAGAACTGCTGGAGGATTCTTTGCTAATATTAACGAGGCACGTGGGGACCCTGCCAGGGCCAGGAGGGGGAGGCAGCTCTTAAAGGGCCCCTGGGAGCAGCTGCTGCTGCTGGGGACACTGAGGTGACACCAGGGACAAGCCTGAGGGCTCCAGAGCCTGGGCTCCAGCCCCTCACGGTCCCCAAATCCCTCTGCAGCTCCTCATGGTGCCCAAATCCCTGTGGCAGCCTCTCATGGTGCCCAAATCCCTGTGGCAGCTCCTCATGGTGCCCAAATCCCTCTGCAGCCCCTCATGGTCCCCAAATCCCTGTGGCAGCCCCTCATGGTCCCCAAATCCCTCTGCAGCCCCTCATGGTCCCCAAATCCCTGTGGCAGCTCCTCATGGTGCCCAAATCCCCTTGGCAGCTCCTCATGGTGCCCAAATCCCTGTGGCAGCCCCTCATGGTCCCCAGATCCCTCTGCAGCTCCTGTTTGTCCCCTATTCTTGCCCTGTGGTCCCCAAATCCCTCTGCAGCCCCCCATGGTGCCCAAATCCCTCTGCAGCTCCTGGCTCTCCCCTGTTCTTGCCCAAATCCCTCTGCAGCCCCAGCCCCTGCCCTGTGGTACCCAAATCTCTTCAGCTCAGCCCCTGCCCTGTGGTTCCCAAATCCCTCTGCAGCCCCTCATGGTGCCCAAATCCCTCTGCAGCTCCTCATGGTGCCCAAATCCCTCTGCAGCTCCTCATGGTCCCCAAATCCCTCTGCAGCTTCTGTCTCTCCCCTATTCTTGCCCTGTTGTACCCAAATCCCTCTGCATCTCCTCATTGTGCCCAAATCCCTCCGCAGCTTCTGTTTCTCCCCTATTCTTGCCCTGTGGTACCCAAATCCCTCTGCAGCTCCAGCCCCTGCCCTGTGGTACCCAAATCTCTTCAGCTCAACCCCTTCCCTGTGGTCCCCAAATCCCTCTGCAGCTCCTCATGGCCCCCAAATCCCTCTGCAGCTCCTCATGGTGCCCAAATCCCTTTGGCAGCTCCTCATGGTCCCCAAATCCCTGTGGCAGCCCCTCATGGTTCCCAAATCCCTCTGCAGCCCCTCATGGTGCCCAAATCCCCTTGGCAGCTCCTCATGGCCCCCAAATCCCTCTGCAGCTCCTCATGGTTCCCAAATCCCTCTGCAGCTTCTATCTCTCCCCTATTCTTGCCCTGTGGTACCCAAATCCCTCTGCAGCTCCAGCCCCTGCCATGTGGTACCCAAATCTCTTCAGCTCAGCCCCTGCCCTGTGGTTCCCAAATCCCTCTGCAGCCCCTCATGGTTCCCAAATCTCTGCAGCTCCTCATGGTGCCCAAATCCCTCTGCAGCCCCTCATGGTGCCCAAATCCCTCTGCAGCCCCTCATGGCCCCCAAATCCCTCTGCAGCTCCTCATGGCCCCCAAATCCCTCTGCAGCTCCTCATGGTTCCCAAATCCCTCTGCAGCTCCTCATGGCCCCCAAATCCCTCTGCAGCTCCTGTTTCTCCCCTATTCTTGCCCTGTGGTACCCAAATCCCTCTGCAGCCCCAGCCCCTGCCCTGTGGTACCCAAATCTCTTCAGCTCAGCCCCTTCCCTGTTGTTCCCAAATCCTTCTGCAGCTCCTCATGGTCCCCAAATCCCTCTGCAGCTCCTCATGGTCCCCAAATCTCTGCAGCTCCTCATGGTGCCCAAATCCCTGTGGCAGCCCCTCATGGTCCCCAAATCCCTGTGGCAGCCCCTCATGGTTCCCAAATCCCTCTGCAGCTCCTCATGGTTCCCAAATCCCTTTGGCAGCTCCTCACGGTCCCCAAATCCCTCTGCAGCCCCTCATGGTGCCCAAATCCCTCTGCAGCTCCTCATGGTGCCCAAATCCCTCTGCAGCTCCTCATGGTGCCCAAATCCCTCTGCAGCTCCTGGCTCTCCCCTGTTCTTGCCCAAATCTCTTCAGCTCAGCCCCTTCCCTGTGGTTCCCAAATCCCTCTGCAGCCCCAGCCCCTTCCCTGTGGTTCCCAAATCCCTCTGCAGCCCCAGCCCCTTTCCTCTGGTCCCTCCCTTGCCCAGGATCCCAGTGGGGACACCCTGGGCATGGACACAAAGGATTCACTGGAACCTTCAGCCTTCACAGCCACCCTGGGAGATCCCAAATCTCCAAAAATTTGGGGTTTGAAGGTGCAGGACCCATGGGAAAGGGAGGCATGGGTGGGAAGGGTGACTTGGGAATGAGATCTCAGAGTGTGACACTCACATTCTGCTGAGAAAGAGGAAAAAAACCCAGCTGGGGATGGCACCTGGAGGCTCCACCATCCATTTTTGGGGACATCAGAGGGCAAAAAGAGGCTGGAGGGGATCACTTGACAACACCCCCAGCCTGGACCCACCTGAGCTGGGGGTGTTTGTGGGTGTGGGGTGAAGGGATTGGCAGGAACCCCCCAAAACCAGCACAGGGATTGGCAGGAACCCCCCAAAACCAGCACAGGGACTGGCAGGAACCCCCCAAAACCAGCACAGGGACTGGCAGGAACCCTCCAAACCCCCAAAACCAGCACAGGGAAGGGCAGGAACCCTTCAAACCCCCAAAACCAGCCCAGGGACTGACAGGAACCCTCCAAACCTCCAAAACCAGAACAGGGACTGGCAGGAACCCTCCAAAACCAGCCCAGTGACTGATAGGAACCCTCCAAACCCCCAAAACCAGCCCAGGGACTGACAGGAACCACCCAAACCTCCAAAACCAGCACAGGGACTGACAGGAACCACCCAAACATCCAAAACCAGCCCAGGGACTGACAGGAACCATCCAAACCTCCAAAACCAGCCCAGGGACTGACAGGAACCCTCCAAAACCAGCCCAGGGACTGACAGGAACCACCCAAAACCAGCCCAGGGCTCTGTGGGATGCTGGGGATGGCACCTGGAGTCCCCACCACCCATTTTTGGGGACATCAGAGGGCGAGAAGAGGCCGGAGGGGGTCACTTGCCTACGTCACTGGTCCCCAGGTCGGTGGAGGCTGATTTCAGGGCCTGCCTCTTGCTCCTGTTGCTGTGTTTCATCCCGGCCTGGCCCTGGGAGGGGACAAATGTCACCTGTGTCACCTGAGGGGCGCGGGGGCCGCGCAGAGGGGCAGGGGGGCACGGCTGTACCTGGTGGCCTGTGTAGCTGGGCTGGTTGTGCAGCAGAGGAGGGGGACACAGGGACAGGTTGTACTGCAGAGGTTGGCCCAGCAGGGAGTACCTCCCGTCACCTGCACCACGAGAAGGATTTGGGGACCCCAGGAAATGTCACAGCACTGCTGTCATTGTGATATTTCCTGGGGAAATGCTCTTTGCCCAGGATTGCTTCTCCTGGGAAGCTGAGAAGCCTCAGAGAAAAATGTAAATGATATTATTATTATTATTATTATTATTATTATTATTATTATTATTTTCTCCTGTTGTTTGCTGCTCAGGAATGTGGGCTGGAGGTTGTTTACCAGCAGGTGAATGTTTGATTGGTTTCATGTAAATTGTTTTTAATTTTTAATTAAGCCAGCTGTGTTGGGACTCTGGAAGGAGTCACGGGTTGTTATTATTCATTCTTGTTAAGTCTTCTGTCTCTATTCTTTCTCTGTTCTTTAGTTTAGTATTTTATAATATAATGTAATGTAATGTAATATCATATTGTATCACATCTTATCAAATCATATCTCATATAATATACTATAATATACTATATTATAATCATATTATATGATTATAATATATCATAATATAATATAACATAACAAAATGTAATAAAATACCATATATACTATAGTATAATATACTATACTATAATATACTATACTATAATATACCACACTATTATATAAGATACTATAATAAAATATACTATAATCATATTATATGATGATAATATTATATAATATCATATTATAATATAACATAACAAAATGTAATAAAATACCATATATACTATAGTATAATATACTATACTATAATATACTATAGTATAATATACTACACTATAATATAAGATACTATAATATACTATACTATAATCATATTATATGATTATAATATAATATACTATACTATAATCATATCATATGATGATAATATAATATAATATACTATACTATAATCATATTATATGATGATAATATAATATAATATAATATAATATAATATAATATAATATAATATAATATAATATAATATAATATAATATAATATAATATAATATAATAGTGATCTAATATGATGTGATATATCATATAACATAATATATAATACATCATATCTCATATAACATAATATAATGTGATAAAATGTAATATATCACATAATATATATAGCATAACATAACATAACATAATATAATATAATATAATATAATATAATCATATAATATCATATTATATAATAACAAATCAGCCTTCTGAGATTATGGAGTCACATTCACCTCTCCCCTCACCCATCCCCATCCCTGGGCTGCCCCAGGGGCTCTGTGCTCTTTCCCCACCCCAAGCCCCTGTTCAGCAGCACTGGGAGCCAAACCCCCCCTGCCCCTGGCTGCACCCTGGAGGAAGAGGAGGAAGAGGAGGAGGAGGAGGGAGCCCCCCTTACCTTGTGCAGGGCCCATGGGCCGGGGGGGGAACTGGGTGAGCACGGGCAGGGGGCTCAGCCCCGGGCACACGCTGCTCAGGTTGGTGACGGGCGACGGCGTCGGCGACTGCGTGGGGGACGTGATGGGGCTGCTCAGCTGGGTGCTGGCCTGGGGAGGGGACAGGGTCACACACGGCCAGGGCTCGGGACACTCACACCCGCCCCGTGTCACACCCGACACGGAGAAAAAGCTCCTTTCTCTCACAGTGCCATTCAACTCAACTCAACTCAATTCAATTCAAATCAATTCAATTCAACTCAATTCAATTCAAATCAACTCAATTCAAATCAACTCAATTCAATTCAATTCAATTCAAATCAACTCAATTCAACTCAATTCAAATCAATTCAATTCAACTCAATTCAATTCAATTCAATTCAATTCAAATCAATTCAATTCAATTCAAATCAATTCCATTCAATTCAATTCAAATCAATTCAATTCAATTATGTTCCAGATTGCAAGGCAAGATGTATTCTATAACCATTTTTGGTAATAGAATACCAAAACTGGGCAGTTTTGCAGTTTTCCTTATCTCTTCCACAATCACTCCTCCCTCCATGGAGACATCAGCTGATAACAGCTATGGAATGTCCTTGCATGGCTGATAAGAACTGCAGCATCCCATTGGGAGATGAGAGCCCAGAGGGAGGAGCCAAGCATTCCTACCTGGATATAATCTGAGATTTCAAACATTCCTACCTGGATATAATCTGAGATTTCAAACATTCCTACCTGGATACAATCTGAGATTTCAAACATTCCTACCTGGATACAAGCTGAGATTTCAAACATTCCTGCCTGGATATAATCTGAGATTTCAAACATTCCTACCTGGATACAATCTGAGGTTTCAAACATTCATACCCTGTTATAATATGAGATTTCAAACATTCTTACCTGGGTATAATCTGAGATTTCAAACATTGCTACCCAGATATAATCTGAGATTTCAAACATTCCTACCTGGATACAATCTGAGATTTCAAACATTCCTAACCAGATTTATCAGTATTGATTTAGTTTAGTGCATTGTTTATTTTATCCTTTTATTTTCTTCCCTATTACAGAACTGTTATTTCCTGCTTCCACAATTTCTGTTGCCTGAGAGCCCCTTAATTTCAAATTTATAGTTTGCTACTCTCAGCCTAGAACCTTTAAGCCTCGGTGCTTTTGAGTTTGCTAATATCAGCCTTGCAGCTTCTAAGCCTCCGTGCTCTTGAGTTTGCTACTCAGCCTAGCAGCTCTTAAACCTGGCTTCTTGTCGCAGACATCTTTTCACTAAAAATCCTTTCTTTAGGATGTTTCCTTCTGAGAGGCCTCAGAGACAGAATGTAACCAATGGTTATCAGCTGCTGTAGAATGCAACAGCTCCACCTGTGATTGGCCCATCTTGGATGTGCATAATTAATGGCCAATCAAAGACTGAGCTATCTCGGATATCTTTGTTATCATTCTCTTCTTTTCTATTCTTAGCTTATCCACCTTCTGAAGAAACCTTTTCCTTCTTTTTCTTTTTAGTATAGTTATAATGTAATATATATATATATAATAAAATAATAAATCAACCTTCTGAACATGGAGTCAACATTCTCATCACTTCCCTCATCCAAGAACCCCTGTGAACACGGTCACAGGTTCTCCTGAGCTGCTACTCTCAGCTTAGCAGCTCTTGACTTGCTACTCAGCCTAGCAGCTCGTGAGTTTGTTGCTCAGCCTAGCAGCTCTGGAGTTTGCTCTGGAGCCTAGCAGCTCGTGAGTTTGCTACTCAGCCTAGCAGCTCTTGAGTTTGCTACTCTCAGCCTAGCAGCTCTGGAGTTTGCTACTCAGCCTAGCAGCTCTTGAGTTTGCTACTCTCAGCCTAGCAGCTCTTGAGTTTGCTACTCAGCCTAGCAGCTCTGGAGTTTGCTCTGGAGCCTAGCAGCTCGTGAGTTTGCTACTCAGCCTAGCAGCTCTTGAGTTTGCTACTCTCAGCCTAGCAGCTCTGGAGTTTGCTACTCAGCCTAGCAGCTCTTGAGTTTGCTACTCAGCCTAGCAGCTCTTGAGTTTGCTACTCTCAGCCTAGCAGCTCTTGAGTTTGCTACTCAGCCTAGCAGCTCTGGAGTTTGCTACTCTCAGCCTAGCAGCTCTTGAGTCTGCTACTCAGCTTAGCAGCTCTTGAGTTTGCTACTCAGCCTAGCAGCTCTTGAGTTTGCTCTGGAGCCTAGCAGCTCGTGAGTCTGCTACTCAGCCTAGCAGCTCTGGAGTTTGCTACTCAGCCTAGCGGCTCTTGAGTTTGCTACTCTCAGCCTAGCGGCTCTGGAGTTTGCTACTCAGCCTAGCAGCTCTGGAGTTTGCTACTCAGCCTAGCAGTTTTCAAGCCTAGGCTCACCCAGCCCAGCCCCAAAGGCTGAGCTACCTCCCCCCAGTCCCTCCCAGTCCCTCCCAGTCCCTCCCAGTCCCCCCAGTACCTGAGCACTGCTGTCGGGGTTGTAGAGGTCTCCAGGTTTCTGCCCCCTCTGCTCCAGGCTGTAGTACTTACAGTGGCTCCACTGCACCACGGGGGGGTTCTGGGGGGCCTGGGGGCCGTTGGGGACATTCAGCTGCATCACCACCACACCAGGGCCTGATGGGGACACCCCTGGGGACAGACACGCGGCTGTACGGCCCAGGCTCTGCTGCTGGGGGACACAGAGCACCTGCCTGTGCCTGTCCCTGTCCCTGCACACCCTTCCTTCCCCACAGTCCCACTCTCTCCTCTGCCACTCGTGGTTTTTCCAGGCTGGAAAAACCCCCAGGATCCTCTGGGGATTCATCTCTGATAGCAAAGGTTACACCTGGGAGTGGTGATGATTAATGCGGGAGAGATGGGAGCCGAGCTGAGGGATGGCAGCTCAGTGACAGCTCTGAGCATCTCCACAAAACTCCAGGCAAAGGCTCCAGGTGCAGAACTCCAGCATCCCAGCTCAGATCCAGGCTCAGGTTTATCATCCCAGCTCAGATCCAGGCTGAGCCTCCATCATCCCAGTTCAGATCCAGTCCAGATCCAGCATCCCAGCTCAGATCCAGGCCCAGATCCAGCATCCCAGCTCAGATCCAGGTCCAGATCCATAATCCTAGCTCAGATCCAGGCTGAGCCTCCATCATCCCAGCTCAGATCCAGGCCCAGATCCAGCATCCCAGCTCAGATCCAGGCTCAGATCCAGCATCCCAGCTCAGATCCTGCACCTCACCAAGCCCAGACGTCCATAATCCCAGCTCAGATCCAAATCCAGGTCCATCATCCCAACTCAGATCCAGGTCCAGATCCATCATCCCAGCTCAGCTCCTGCACCAGGCCCACATCTCCATCATCCCAGCTCAGATCCTGCAGCTCACCAGACCTAGACCTCCACCATCCCAGTTCAGATCCTGCTCCAGATCCATCACCCCAGCTCAGATCCAGGCCCAGATCCATCATCCCAGCTCAGATCCAAGTCCAGATCCATCATCCCAGCTCAGATCCAGGCCCAGATCCATCATCCCAGCTCAGATCTAGGCCCAGATCCATCATCCCAGCTCAGATCCAAGTCCAGATCCATCATCCCAGCTCAGATCCAGGCCCAGATCCATCATCCCAGCTCAGATCCAAGTCCAGATCCATCATCCCAGCTCAGATCCAGGTCTAGATCCAGCAGCCCAGCTCAGATCCTGCAGCTCACTAAGCCCAAATCTCCATCATCCCAGCTCAGATCCTGCTCCAGATCCATCATCCCAGCTCAGATCCAGGCCCACACCTCCATCATCCCAGCTCAGCTTCTGCTCCAGCTCACCAAGCCCAAACCTCCATCAGCCCAGTTCAGATCCTACAGCTCACCAGGCCCAGATCTCCATAATCCCAGTTCAGATCCAAGCCCAGATCCATCATCCCAGCTTAGATCCAGGCCCAGATCCAGCATCCCAGCTCAGCTCCTGCACCTCACTAAGCCCAAATCTCCATCATCTCAGCTCAGATCCAGGTCTAGATCCAGCATCCCAGCTTAGATCCAGGCCCAGATCCACCATCCCAGCTCAGATCCAGGCTCAGATCCATCATCCCAGCTCAGATCCAGGCCCAGATCCATTATCCCAGCTCAGCTTCTGCACCAAGCCCAGATCTCCACCATTCCAGCTCAGCTCCAGCTCCACCATCCCAGCTCAGCTCCTGCTCCACCATCCCAGCTCAGCTCCAGCTCCACCATCCCAGCTCAGCTCCAGCTCCACCATTCCAGCTCAGCTCCAGCTCCACCATCCCAGCTCAGCTCCAGCTCCACCATCCCAGCTCAGCTCCAGTTCCACCATCCCAGCTTAGCTCCAGTTCCACCATCCCAGCTCAGCTCCTGCTCCACCATCCCAGCTCGGCTCCAGCTCCACCATCCCAGCTCAGCTCCTGCTCCAGCTCACTCCCAGCAGCTGTGACAGGGAGCAGGAATCCCCCACCTCCCCCTCTGCCCCTTTCCCCCTCTCTCAGCACCCCAGAGCCCCCCCAGCTCCCTCCAGCCCCGTGCCCACCCTGGCAGGGAGATGCCAGGCACCCTCCAGCGCCCACCCTGACCATTCCCCCGAGGAGCCCCCTTGGCACAGCAGCTTGGCAGCTCCAGAGCCCACGATCCACAGGGTGCTGCCACCTCTGGAGTGGGTGCCAGCCTTGCCCAGGGCCCCCCTGGTACCTGAATACTGCTGCTGCATCTGGGGAGGGCTGCAGGGCGCCGGGGACTGCGGCATCTGGTACTGCTCAGAGCCAGGGGGCTGCAGGAACCCCACGGATGGGCTGGGGAGCAGAGAGGGTCAGGTCAGCATCTAGGAGGGGTTTGGGAACCCAGGAAATTCCTCAGGCTGCCCTGGAGGGCTCGAGACCCTGCCCAGGGGGCTCAGGGACCTTGGCACAGAGCACAAGACTCCTGGGCCTTTGATTTAGCCCTTGGAAAAAATAATTACCAAGCTTTATATGAAGGATTACAAGTCAAGAAAGTTTAAGTAGAATAATAGTTAGTTTGTTATGGGGTGAAAAATCGATTTTTTGGGGTTTTTAGAATGGGGGTTCAGGGGACAAGATGGAGGAATCTGGGCATGTCCTGTCCTTGTTCTTCTCCTTCTCCTTGTTTGCCTCCATCTCCTGCTGTGATGGTGGCACTTTGGGATTGGTTTAGAGAGAAATCATCTAACACAAGTGATAGGTACTGGAAAATTATTGTAAATATTGTACACGTAGTTTTTAGTATAAAAAACTAACACCACCCCAAGGGCTGGAAACAATTCCCAGCTTTGTGTGAGGAGTTACAACCTACAAGAGTTTGAGTAGAATGATAGTGAATTAATCACAGGGTGAAAATGTAGAATTTTGGGGATTTGGAATGGGGGTTCAGGGGGCAAGATGGAGGAATCTGGGCATGTCCTGTCCTTCTTCTTCTGTTTCTTGGTCTCCATTTTCTGCAGTGATGGTGGCACTTTGGGATTGGTTTAGAGTAGAGACAAACTGTCTAACACAGGTGACGGGTATTGGGAAGTTATTGTAAATATTGTACATTAGTTTTTAGTATAAAAAATAATAATAAAACACCACCCCAAGGGCACCACAGCAGAACACAGAACCCCAGAACCTCCCAAGCTGAAAGATCACAAGCATCCCTGACTCCTGCCCTTGACAGGACACCCCCAAAGCCCCAAACCTGTGGGCACAGCACCCTTTGCACCCCTTTGCACCCCCCTGGCAGCTGCCAGAGCTTTACCTGGTGCCATTCTGCTGGGCAGTGGGGATGACACTGTAGTAGATGGGGACCCCTGCAGCCTGGAGCCCCCCCTGCACAGACTGGCTGGCTGGCACGAGCACGGGCTGCTGGAAGGGCTGCTGGACCACGTTCTGGGAGTCACTGCCCATGGGCACCTGGGCAGGGAGGAGAGCAGCAGGTCACAGCAACAGAGCAGGGGGAAATGGCCCAAAGAGGCAGCAGCAGGGGGAGGGGGCTCCAGGTGGGTTTTTCTGACACCCCACAGCAACCTCCCCCTGGCAGAGCCTGTCCCAGAGATTCTCCCAGCTCCAGGTGTGCCCCAAAGGTGCCCTGGGAGCAAATCCCCACCTTTGTGGGATCCTTGGGGCACATCTTGCCCAGCCAAAGCCCCCTCCCCATCCCTGTGAGCAAATCCCCTCCTTTGGGGCATCCCTTGGGCACATCCTGCCCAGCCCTCTCCCCTCCTATCACCCCAGGCTGGGAGCAGCAGATGCCCAGTAGGGTGAGGAGAATCCAGGTGGGTTTTTCTGACACCCCTGGCAGAGCCCATCCCAGAGATTCTCCCAGCTCCAGATGTGCCCCAAAGGTGCCCTGGGAGCAAATCCCCTCCTTTGGGGATCCCTTGGGCACATCTTGCCCAGCCAGAACCCCCTCCCCAGCCCTGTGAGCAAATCCCCTCCTTTGGGGGACCCCTTGGGCACGTCCATCCCTTGGGCACATCCTGCCCAGCCAGGGCCCCCTCCTGCCCCAGATGTGCCCCAAAGATGCCCACATGGATGTGGCCTCCCCATCCCTGTGAGCAAATCCCCACCTTTGGGGCATCCCTTGGGCACATCTTGCCCAGCCAGAGACCCCTCCCCAGCCCTGTGAGCAAATCCCCACCTTTGGGGGACCCCTTGGGCACATCCATCCCTTGGGCACATCCTGCCCAGCCCTCCTGCTCCAGATGCGCCCCACAGATGCCCCCATGGACGTGCCCTCCTCATCCCTGTGAGCAAATCCCCACCCTTGGGGATCCCTTTGGCACATCCAGAGCTCCCTCCCCAGCCCTGTGAGCAAATCCCCACCCTTGGGGATCCCTTGGGCACATCCTGCCCAGCCAGAACCCCCTCCCCAGCCCTGTGAGCAAATCCCCATCCTTGGGGCATCCCTTGGGCACATCCAGAGCCCCCTCCCCATCCCTGTGAGCAAATCCTCACCCTTGGGGACCCCTTGGGCACATCCAGAGCTCCCTCCCCAGCCCTGTGAGCAAATCCCCACCTCTGGGGCATCCCTTGGGCACATCCAGAGCCCCTTCCCCATCCCTGTGAGCAAATCCCCACCCTTGGGGATCCCTTGGGCACATCCAGAGCTCCCTCCCCATCCCTGTGAGCAAATCCCCACCCTTGGGCACACCCTGCCCACCCAGAGCCCCCTGCCCAGCAGCCCAGTGCCCACCTGGTAGGAAGGCAGTGCTGTGTACTGGACCATCAGCCCTTGCATCTGGCTGCCCATGCTGCTCCTCTGGCTGCTGAGGAGCCCGGGGGGCTGAGCCTGCTGCACCCCCAGCACGTTCTGCATCTGGCCCCCCATGTTGTTCCTCTGGCTGCTGAGGAGCCCGGGGGGCTGAGCCTGCTGCACCCCCAGCACACCTTGGTAGCTTTGCTGCTGGTTGGACATCATTGGCTGTAAACCTGCCAGAACAGGGTTGGAATGGAGGGACTTAGAGCTGGGCATGGGAAATAACCCCCAAAATTCAAGATTCGGGGAATAAATAACTCCAGATTTAAGGTTTAGGGAATAAATAACCCCAAATTCAAGATTTAGGGAATAAATAACCCCAAATTCAAGATCTAGGGAATAAATAACTCCAGATTTAAGGTTTATGGAGTAAATAACTCCAGATTCAAGATTTAGGGAATAAATAACCCCAAATTCAAGATTTAGGGAATAAATAACTCCAGATTTAAGATTTAGGGAATAAATAACTCCAAATTCAAGATTTAGGGAATAAATAACCCCACGTTTAAGATTTAGGGAGTAAATAACTCCAGATTTAAGATTTAGGGAATAAATAACCCCAAATTCAAGATGTAGGGAATAAATAACTCCAGACTCAAGATTTAGGAATAAATAACTCCAAATTCAAGATTCAGGGAATAAATAACCCCAAATTCAAGATTTAGGAATAAATAACCCCAGATTTAAGATTTAGGGAATCAAATCCTGCTCCTGCTGAAGAATGGGGAAAGGGCTTCCCTTGGAGCAGATTAAAACACACCCAAGGGAAGCTCCTGACTTTAAATTCCCCCTTTATATTCAGTGCCAGAACAGGGTTTTAATGCAGTGACTTCCCAGCTGAACATAGGAAATAAGTCCAGATTTAAGATTTAGGGAATAAATAACTCCAGATTTAAGATTTAGGGAGTAAATAACACCAAATTTAAGATTTAGGGAATAAATAACCCCAAATTTAAGATTTAGGGAATAAATAACTCCAAATTCAAGATTCAGGGAATAAATAACTACAAATTTAAGATTTAGGGAGTAAATAACCCCAGATTTAAGATTTAGCAAGTCAAATCCTGCTCCTGCTGAAGAGCGGGGAAAGGGCTTCCCTTGGAGCAGATTTAAACACAGCCAAGGGAAGTTCCTGACTTTAAATCCCCCTGGCAGCCCCTCAGTGGGGCTAAAATCCACCTCATCCTGTCCCCTCTGCATCTGGCCCCCCATGTTGTTCCTCTGGCTGCTGAGGAGCCCGGGGGGCTGAGCCTGCTGCACCCCCAGCACACCTTGGTAGCTTTGCTGCTGGTTGGACATCATTGGCTGTAAACCTGCCAGAACAGGGTTGGAATGGAGGGACTTAGAGCTGGGCATGGGAAATAACAACAAATTCAAGATTTAGGGAGTAAATAACCCCAAATTCAAGGTTTAGGGAATAAATAACTCCAAATTCAAGATTTAGGGAATAAATAACCCCAAATTCAAGATTTAGGGAATAAATAACCCCAGATTTAAGGTTTAGGGAATAAATAACCCCAGATTTAAGGTTTAGGGAATAAATAACCCCAGATTTAAGATTTAGGAATAAATAACCCCAAATTCAAGATTTAGGGAATAAATAACCCCAAATTCAAGATTTAGGGAATAAATAACCCCAGATTCAAGATTTAGGAATAAATAACTCCAAATTCAAGATTTAGGGAATAAATAACCCCAGATTTAAGATTTAGGGAATCAAATCCTGCTCCTGGTGAAGAATGGGGAAAGGGCTTCCCTTGGAGCAGATTTAAACACACCCAAGGGAAGTTCCTGGCTTTAAATTCCCCTGGCAGAACAGGGTTTCAATGGAGGTTTCAATTGAGTCACTTCCCAGCTGGACATAGGAAATAACCCCAGATTCAAGATTTAGGGAATAAATAACCCCAAATTCAAGATTTAGGGAATAAATAACCCCAGATTCAAGATTCAGGGAATAAATAACTCCAGATTCAAGATTTAGGGAATAAATAACCCCAAATTCAAGATTTAGGGAATAAATAACTCCAAATTTAAGATTTAGGGAATAAATAACCCCAGATTTAAGATTTAGGGAATAAATAACCCCAGATTCAAGATTTAGGGAATCAAATCCAGCCTCTATCTCCACCTCCTGCTGAAGAATGGGGAAAGGGCTTCCCTTGGAGTAGATTTAAACACAGCCAAGGAAGCTCCAGGCTTTAAATTCCCCTGGCAGCCCCTCAGTGCCAGAACAGAGTTTCAATGGAGTCACTTCCCAGCTGGAGATGGGAAATAACCCCAAATTTAAAATGTAGGGAATTAATAATAAACTTAGGGAATCAAATCCTGCTTCTGCCTCCACCTCCTGCTGAAGAATGGGGAAGACTGGAGCAGATTTAAACACAGCCAAGGGAACTCCTGCCTTTAAACCCCCCTGGCAGCCCTCAGTGGGGTTTAAACCCATCCCAGTGCCTCAGTGAGCAATGAGGAGAGGGAGGGAAGGACACAGACACCCCCAACCTCCACCCACAGCAGCCACAACCCAACCCCAGAGAGCGCAGGGGAGACCCCTGGGGCCAACAACAGCAGCAGCAAAGGGAGATTTGCCCTTTTTAACCCCTTTTTAACCCTTTTTAACCCTTTTGAACCCTTTTTAGCCCTTTTCCAGCCCCTTACCTGGCTGCTGGGACTGCTGGGGGAGCTGCTGGGGGCGCTGGGAGCTGTAGGCCACTGGGTGACTGAGGGGTCGGTATTGCTGGCTGGAGTTGGGGTACTGCCCAGGGGGGTAGTAAGAAACCTGAATCTGTCATGGGCAAAAAGAAAACAACCCAGGGGTGTGAGCACAGCAAGGAGCAGGGGCAAGAAAGCTGATTTTTATATATTTTATATATATTTTTAATATATTTTATATATATTTTATATATATTTTTATATATATTATATATATTATATATATTTTATATATTTTATATATATTTTTATATATATTTTATATATATTTTATATATATTTTTATACATATTTTATATATATTTTATATATTTTTTATACATATTTTATATATATTTTTATATATATATTATATATATATTTTATATATATTTTATATATATTTTATATATATTTTATATATATTTTATGGAAAATCCTTTCGTTAGGATTTTTTTGTTCTCCCCAGAAGCTGAGAGGCCTCAGGAATGAAATGTAAATTATGATTTGCTGGTTTGTTTCTCCTGTGTTTTGCTGCTCTGCAATGTGGTTGGAGATTTTTTTTTTTATCCAACGTGTGAATTGTTGGGATTTGATGACCAAGCATGGCCAGGCTGTGTCAGGACTCTGGAATGAGTCGGGAGTTTTCATTATCAATTCTTTGTAGCCTTCTGTCTGTATCCTTTCTCTATTCTTTAGTATAGTTCTAGTATAAATATAATATAATATAATATAATATAATATAATATAATATAATATAATATAATATAATATAATATATTAATATAATATGATATAATATAATGCAATATATCATACTATATAAAATAATATCATATAATATTATTAAAAATGATATAATATAATATAATATAATATAATATAATAATAAATTAGCCTTCTAAGAACATGGAGTCAGATTCTCAACTCCTTCTCCATCTGAGGGACCCCAAAAATACCACAGGGACCCCCTCCCCAGCAGGTCTGGGGATGTCCCAGATGGAATATAATAGAAATAGAATTAATATAATATAATATAATATATCATACTATATAAAATAACATCATATAATATTACAATAAAATGATATAATATAAAATAATATAATATAAGTAATGTAATGCATTATAATATAATAACAATATTATATAATATGATATAATGTAATATCATGTAATCTAATGCAATGCAATATATCATACCATATAAAATAATATCATGTAATATTATAACAACATGATATGATATATGATATGATACATCATGTAATATCATGTGATATCATATAGCTTCATGCAATGTAATGCAATGTAGTGTATAATACCATAAAAAATAATATCATATAATATTATAACAGTATGATATAACATGCTATGATATAATAATGTAATATGGTATGATACGATACGACATAATTAATATAATATAATATAATATAATATAATATAATATAATATAATGTAATGTAATGTAACATAATATAATATAATGTAATGTAATGTAATATAATATAATGTAATATAATGTAATGTAATGTAATATAATATAATGTAATATAATGTAATGTAATATAATGTAATGTAATGTAATATAATATAATGTAATATAATGTAATGTAATATAATATAATGTAATATAATGTAATGTAATGTAATATAATATAATATAATATAATATAATACAATACAATACAATACAATACAATACAATAATAAATTAGCCTTCTCAGAATCTGACAGTTGAGTCAGACTCTCAATTCCCCATGACCCCCTGGTGCCACCCCCCTGGTGCTACCCCCTGGTTCCATGCCCTGGTGCCCTCCCCCTGGTGCCCTAACCCTGGTGCCACCCCCTGGTGCCACCCCCTGGTGCCACCCCCTGGTGCCACCCCCGGTGCCATCCATCCCCCTGGTGCCATCCATCCCCCTGGTGCCACGCCCTGGTGCCCTAACCCTGGTGCCCTCCCCCTGGTGCCCCCCACCCCCCTGTTGCCCCCGTCACCTGCTGTGGGGGCTGGATGTAGCCCTGGGGCTGCAGCACCGGCTGGCTGGGGGCCGTGTGCCCCGAGGCAGAGTAGCTGGAGGTGGGGATGGGCTGCCCAGGAGGAGCTGCCATGATGAACCCTGGCTGCTGGGGGTGCTGGGACAGCAGCGAGGGCTGGAACATCCCCGAGGAAGGGTCTGGAGCCTCCGTGGAGCCCTGGCGGCTGAGGCTGATCTGCCCGAAGGGGCTGCTGAGCTCGTCGGCCTGGAACGGGGCAAGGATGGAGGAGGTGGGACAAAAGGAGCAGCAGGACACAGCTCTGCTGGTAAATACAGACCCCTTCTCCTAGAGAAACCCCCCAAAACACCCCCAAACATGAGGCACAGAGCAGGACATGGGACATGGGACATGCCAGCTGAGCTCGTCGGCCTGGAACGGGGCAAGGATGGAGGAGGTGGGACAAAAGGAGAGTAGGACACAGCTCTGCTGGTTAATGCACACCCCTTCTCCCAGAGAAACTCCCCAAAACACCCCCAAACATGAGGCACAGACCCAGAGCAGGACATGGGACATGGGACATGCCAGCTGAGCTCAGAGCCTGGAACAGGGCAAGGATGGAGGAGGTGGGACAAAAGGAGCAGCAGAACACAGCTCTGCTGGTAAATACAGACCCCTTTTCCCAGAGAAACTCCCCAAAACACCCCCAAACATGAGGCACAGAGCAGGACATGGGACATGGGACATGGGACATGCCAGCTGAGCTCAGCAGCCTGGAATGGGGCAAGGATGGAGGAGGTGGGACAAAAAGAGAGTAGGACACAGCTCTGCTGGTGATGAACACCCCTTCTCCTGAAAAAGCCCCCCAAAAACGAGCCACAGACCCAGAGCAGGACATGGGACATGGGACATGGGACATGCCAGCTGAGCTCAGCAGATGGTGGGGACACGAGGGGTGACTCCAGCCCAGCTGCCACGTCCCACGGGGGACAACATTGCCAAAAGATCCCTGTGGGGACAACACAGGGGCTGGGCTGAGCCCCGGGGGCAGCCACGGCCCCCAGACCCCACAATGAGCACAAGCACGGCTGGGGAGCTCTGGGCTTGGGGTTTGCTCTTGGCAAGGCCACCAGTCCAGCACTGGTGGCCTCAGGCATTGCTGGGGAGCTCTGGGAGCTCTGAATTGGCTCCTTCCAGATCTTTCCAAGGCCACCAGTCCAGCAGTGGTGGCCTCAGGCATTGCTGGGGAGCTCTGGGAGCTCTGAATTGGCTCCTTCCAGATCTTTCCAAGGCCACCAATCCAGCAGTGGTGGCCTCAGGCATTGCTGGGGAGCTCTGGGCTTTGAACTTGCTCTTCCCAGGCTTTTCCCAAGCAGCACTGGTGGCTCCATGGCCTCAGGCATCTGCTGAGGAGCTCTGGGCTTGGGATTTGCTCTTCCCAGGCTCTTCTGGTCCCATGGCCTCATCCATCTTTTTGGGAGCTCTGGGAGCTCTGAATTTGCTCTTCCCAGGCTCTTCCCAAGCCACCAGTCCAGCAGTGGCGGCCTCAGGCATCTGCTGAGAGCTCTGGGCTTGGGATTTGCTCTTCCCAGGCTCTTTCCAAGGCATTTGCTGAGGAGCTCAGGGCTTGGAATTTGCTCTTTCCAAGGCCACCAGTCCAACAGTGGTGGCCTCAGGCATCTTTTTGGGAGCTCTGAATTTGCTCTTCCCAAGGCCACCACTCCAGCACTGGTGGTCCCATGGCCTCAGGCATCTGCTGAGGAGCTCTGGGCTTGGGATTTGCTCCTTCCAAGGCCACCAATCCAGCAGTGGTGGCCTCAGGCATTGCTGGGGAACTCTGGGAGCTCTGAATTGGCTCCTTCCAGATCTTTCCAAGGCATCTGCTGGGGAGCTCTGGGCTTGGAATTTGCTCTTCCCAAGGCCACCACTCTAGCACTGGTGGTCCTGTGGCCTCAGGCATCTGTTGGAGAGCTCTGGGAGCTCTGAATTTGCTCTTCCCAAGCAGCACTGGTGGTCCCATGGCCTCAGGCATCTTCTGAGGAGCTCTGGGCTTGGGATTTGCTCTTCCCAAGGCCACCAGTCCAACAGTGGTGGCCTCAGGCATTTTTTTGGGAGCTCTGAATTTGCTCTTCCCAGGCTCTTCTCAAGGCCACCACTCCAGCACTGGTGGTCCCATGGCCTCAGGCATCTGTTGGGTGGCTCTGGGAGCTCTGAATTTGCTCTTCCCAGGCTCTTCCCAAGCCACCAGTCCAGCAGTGGTGGCCTCAGGCATCTGCTCAGAGCTCTGGGCTTAGAATTTGTTCTTCTCAGGCTCTTCTGGTCCCATGGCCTCATGCATCTTTTTGGGAGCTCTGGAGCTCTGAATTTGCTCTTCCCAAGGCCACCAGTCCAACAGTGGTGGCCTCAGGCATTGCTGGGGAGCTCTGGGCTTGGAATTTGCTCTTCCCAGGCTCTTCCCAACCAGCACTGGTGGTTCCATGGCCTCAGGCATCTGCTGAGAGCTCTGGGAGCTCTGAATTTGCTCTTCCCAGGTTCTTTCCAAGGCATCTGCTGGGGAGCTCTGGGCTTGGGATTTGCTCTTTCCAAGGCCACCAGTCCAGCAGTGGTGGCCTCAGGCATCTTTTTGGGAGCTCTGAATTTGCTCTTCCCAAGGCCACCACTCCAGCACTGGTGGTCCTGTGGCCTCAGGCATCTTCTGGGGAGCTCTGGGCTTGGAATTTGCTCTTCCCAAGGCCACCAATCCAGCAGTGGTGGCCTCAGGCATTGCTGGGGAGCTCTGGGAGCTCTGAATTTGCTCTTCCCAGGCTCTTTCCAAGGCATCTGCTGGGGAGCTCTGGGCTTGGAATTTGCTCTTCCCAAGCAGCACTGGTGGTCCCATGGCCTCAGGCATCTGCTGGGTGGCTCTGGGAGCTCTGAATTTGCTCTTCCCAGGCTCTTTTCAAGCCACCACTCCAGCAGGGGTGGCCTCAGGCATTGCTGGGTGGCTCTGGGAGCTCTGAATTTGCTCTTCCCAGCCAGCAGTGGTGGTCCCATGGCCTCAGGCATTGCTGGGTGGCTCTGGGAGCTCTCAATTTGCTCTTCCCAGCCAGCAGTGGCGGTGCCGTGGCCTCAGGGACCCCAGAGCTGGGTGGATCCCAGCCCCAGGGGGGTGTTTGGGACACACCTGATCAGCACAAGCTCACAGAACACAAACACAGCACAGAGCACAAGAGACAGAGCAGAAGAGGAACTGGGGTTTGTACCAGGTTGTACTGCTGGGGTGGAGAGACTGGCAGGAGGACTTGGGGGCAGGAGCTTGGAGAGTACGGAACGGGCTGCAGCGCCGGCACCGGCTACACCAGCAGAGAGGGATGGGCAGGGAGAGGAGGGAGGAAAAGGGAGGAAAAGGGAGGGAAGGAGGAAGGAAAAGGGAGGAAAAGGAGGGAGGAAAATGGAGGAAAAGGAGGGAGGAAAATGGAGGAAAAGAAGGGAGGAAAATGGAGGAAAAGGAGGGAGGAAAATGAAGGAAAAGGAGGGAGGAAAATGGAGGAAAAGGAGGGAGGAAAATGAAGGAAAAGGAGGGAGGAAAATGAAGGAAAAGGGGGAAGGAAAAGGGAGGAAAAGGGAGGAAAAGAAGGAAGGAAAATGAAGGAAAAGGGGGAAGGAAAAGGGAGGAAAAGGGAGGAAAAGAAGGAAGGAAAAGGGAGGAAAAGGAGGGAGGAAAATGGAGGAAAAGGAGGGAGGAAAATGGAGGAAAAGGGGGAAGGAAAAGGGAGGGAGGAAGGAGGAAAATGAAGGAAAAGGGAAGAAGGAAATGAAGGAAAGAATGGAAGGGAAAGGGAGGAAAAGGAAGGAGGAAGGAAAGGGAGGAAAGGAAGGAAAAGGAGGAAAGGGAGGAGAGAAGAAGGAGAAGGGAGAAGGAAAATGAAGGGAAAGGAAGGAAAAGGAGGGAGGAAAAGGGAGGAAAAGGTAGGAGGAAAATGAGGGAAAAGGGGGAAGGAAAGAGAGGAAAAGGAAGAACAAAAAGGGAAGAAAAGGGAGGAGGAAAATGAAGGAAAAAGGGGGAAGGAAAAGGGAGGGAGGAAGGAGGAAAAGGGAGGAGGAAAATGAAGGGAAAGGAGGGAGGAAAACAAAGGAAAAGGGAGGGAGGGAGGGAGGGAAGGAAGGAAGGGAGGGAGGAAGGAAGGAAGGAAGGAAGGAAGGAAGGGAGGAAGGGAGGAAGGGAGGAAGGGAGGAAGGGAGGAAGGGAGGAAGGGAGGAAGGGAGGAAGGGAGGAAGGGAGGAAGGAAGGAAGGAAGGAAGGAAGGAAGGAAGGAAGGAAGGAAGGAAGGAAGGAAGGAAGGAAGGAAGGAAGGAAGGAAGGAAGGAAGGAAGGAAGGAAGGAAGGAAGGAAGGAAGGAAGGAAGGAAGGAAGGAAGGAAGGAAGGAAGGAAGGAAGGAAGGAAGGAAGGAAGGAAGGAAGGAAGGAAGGAAGGAAGGAAGGAAGGAAGGAGAGAAAGAAGGAACAACCAGGTTAGTGTCAAGTGAGCCAACTGCAAACACAGAGGGGCCTTGCAGGGCCTTGGGAAGCACAGGAACCATCCAGGGCAGCATCCACCACCCACCCATCAGGCACAGCCCAGGTGTCTCTGCTGCCCCCAGCACTGCCCACAGTGCTCCTGGTGCCCACTCACCTTCCACAGGGACCCCTCTGTGTCACCTGGAGCACTTGATGAGACTGAAACCCCTCACTGAAACCCCTCACTGAAACCCCTCACTGAAACCCTTCACTGAAACCCCTCACTGAAACCCCTCACTGAAACCCCTCACTGAAACCCCTCACTGAAACCCCTCACTGAAACCCCTCACTGAAACCCTTCACTGAAACCCTTCACTGAAACCCCTCACTAAACCCCTCACTGAAACCCCTCACTGAAACCCTTCACTGAAACCCCTCACTAAACCCCTCACTAAACCCCTCACTAAAGCCCCTCACTGAAACCCCTCACTGAAACCCCTCACTGAAACCCCTCACTGAAACCCCTCACTGAAACCCTTCACTGAAACCCCTCACTGAAACCCCTCACTGAAACCCCTCACTGAAACCCCTCACTGAAACCCCTCACTAAACCCCTCACTGAAACCCTTCACTAAACCCCTCACTGAAACCCCTCACTAAACCCCTCACTAAACCCTTCACTGAAACCCCTCACTGAAACCCTTTACTGAAACCCCTCACTGAAACCCCTCACTGAAACCCCTCACTAAACCCCTCACTAAAACCCCTCACTAAACCCCTCACTGAAACCCTTCACTAAAACCCCTCACTAAACCCCTCACTGAAACCCCTCACTAAACCCCTCACTGAAACCCTTCACTGAAACCCTTCACTGAAACCCCTCACTGAAACCCCTCACTAAAGCCCCTCACTGAAACCCCTCACTGAAACCCCTCACTGAAACCCCTCACTAAAGCCCCTCACTGAAACCCCTCACTGAAACCCCTCACTGAAACCCCTCACTAAACCCCTCACTAAAGCCCTCACTGAAACCCCTCACCAAAGCCCACCCTGTGCTTTGGGCACCAATGGTCACTGCTGGGTGGGGGGGCTGATGCTTTGATTTCACCTTTGGATGGACACGGGCATGGTGCATTTCCAGATCCTTCACCAACACCCAAACAACCTGAGATCATTTCATTCCAGGCTCCAAACCCTTGGATCACACAGCAGAAGATCCAGACTGAAACCCCAGCCTGAGATCCCACCCAGGCTCTCTGCTATCCCAGCTCCAGACAGACACCCCAGCTCATTCCTCGAGGCTCAGGATCCTCCACAAACAAATCCACAACCCCTGGAGCCCCTCCAGAGCCCAAAAAATATCATTTCCCCCCTGTGCTACAGCTGGAAGCTGCTCCTGATACCTGTAGTAAAAGCTTTTCCAGAAGGTTCTTCCCTTCTGAGAACCATGGAACTGCCCAGGTTGGGAGGGACCTCAGGACACCTGCTCCAATTGTTTGCTTCTATTGTCCTTTATTGTCCTAACTCTGATTGCTCAAATTTGTATTGTTCTAATTTTTATAACTGTTTTTATATTATTACTATTACTAATGGTTATATAATTATTAACTAATATAACTATTAACTAATATATCTATTAACTAATATATCTATTAACTAATATAACTATTAATTATAACTATAAACTAAATATAACTAATTATGACTATAAACTAAATATAACTATTAACTAATATATCTATTAACTAATATAACTATTAATTATAACTATTAACTATAACTATTAATTATAACTATTAACTATAACTATTAACTATAACTACTAACTATAACTATTTATTTCTAATATTAGTATAACTAACTTTTTACTAATATATTAGTAAAAAGTTATTACTGATATATTAGTAAAAAGTTATTACTGATATATTAGTAAAAAGTTATTACTGATATATTAGCAAAAAGTTACTACTAATATATTAGCAAAAAGTTATTACTAATATATTAGCAAAAAGTTACTACTAATATATTAGCATAACTAACTTTTGACTATTATTTATTACTATTATTATAACTATTTTATAACTATTATTTTATTACTATTAAAATTCTTAAATTTCAACACAAGTGATTGGGGTTTTTTTGCACACAGCAACGCTTAATGCCAGCAAAAAAAAGCAGAATTACTGCTTCAGCAAAAAAGCTGAATTACTTTCAGTTTGAATTCAAAAATGAGACAAACTTTGAGTCGTGATCTAAATTTCCTGAGAATTTCTGCATCGTGTTAAGAAAACCAAGTAAAGCAAGAAACAGAAAATAGGCAGATGTATTCTAGCAAGGTTATGAACCACATTTTGGCACCCAAATTGCCCTGTGGGACTCACCTGGGACATGATGGGGCTGCTGATGGGCGGCTGCTGCTGCTGCTGCTGCTGCTGCTGGGCTGGGGGGAGCCCAGGGGGCTGTGGGGCTGAGCAGGGCAGGAGGGCACGGCCGGCCTGGGATGAGGGGGACGGGCTGCAGCCCTCGGGGGCAGCCAGCACCAAACCTGCAGCACACAGAGAGACAGAGAGAGGGGCACAGAGAGCTGGGAGGCAGCAGGGAAGCAGCAGGGAGCGGGGAACAGAGCAGGGGAGGGCACCTGTAGGATGCATCTGACTGCACTGAGCCAGGGGGCTCAACAATTATTCTATTCTATTCTATTCTATTCTATTCTATTCTATTCTATTCTATTCTATTCTATTCTATTCTATTCTATTCTATTCTATTCTATTCCATTCCATTCTATTCCATTCCATTCCATTCCATTCCATTCTATTCTATTCTATTCCATTCCATTCTATTCTATTCCATTCTATTCCATTCTATTCTATTCCATTCCCTTCCATTCCATTCCGTTCCATTCCATTCCCTTCCATTCCCTTCCATTCCATTCCCTTCCATTCCTTTCCATTCTATTCCATTCCCTTCCCTTCCATTCCTTTCCATTCTATTCCATTCCATTCCACTCTATTCCATCCTTTCCTTTCCTTTCCTTTCCTTTCCTTTCCTTTCCTTTCCTTTCCTTTCCTTTCCTTTCCTTTCCTTTCCTTTCCTTTCCTTTCCTTTCCTTTCCTTTCCTTTCCTTTCCTTTCCACTCCACTCCACTCCACTCCACTCCACTCCACTCCACTCCACTCCACTCCACTCCACTCCACTCCATTCCACTCCATTCCATTCCACTGTTAGGGGCACCTAGCACCACACCTGGAACAGAAAAGGAGGCACAGAGTCCTGGATGTGCCCCCCCAACACCCAGGTGTCCTTTGGCAGGCAAAGATTTCCAGTTCCCCAACCCAAATTTATTCAGCCAGGTGCCCTTTGGCAGGTAAAGGGCTCCAGTTTCCCCAACCCCAAATCCACCTCCCAGGTGCCCTTTTCCATGCCAAGACCCCCATTCCCTATCCCAGGTGCCCTTTTTCATGCAAAGATCCCCATTCCCCCCTGCCCTAAATCCACCTCCCAGGTGCCCTTTCTCAGGTAAAGAGCTCCAGTTCCTCAACCTAAAATCTGTCAGTCCTGGTGCAGACTGGAGACCATGGAGACATCCAGGTGCCCTTTTTCAGGTAAAGATCTCCATTTCCTATCCCAGGTGCCCTTTTCCATGTAAAGATCCCCATTCCCCCAACCCAAAATCCATCTCCCAGGTGCCCTTTTCCATGCCAAGATCCCCATTCCCTATCCCAGGTGCCCTTTTCCATGCAAAGATCTCCATTTCCAGAACCCAAAATCCATCTCCCAGGTGCCCTTTTCCATGCCAAGACCCCCATTCCCTATCCCAGGTGCCCTTTTCCATGCCAAGACCCCCATTCCCTATCCCAGGTGCCCTTTTCCATGCCAAGACCCCCATTCCCTATCCCAGGTGCCCTTTTCCATGCCAAGACCCCCATTCCCTATCCCAGGTGCCCTTTTCCATGCCAAGACCCCCATTCCCTATCCCAGGTGCCTTTTCCATGCAAAGATCCCCATTTCCAGAACCCAAAATCCACCTCCCAGGTGCCCTTTTCCATGCCAAGATCCCCATTCCCCCAACCCCAAATCCACCTCCCAGGTGCCCTTTTCCATGCCAAGACCCCCATTCCCTATCCCAGCTGCCCTTTTCCACACCAAGACCCCCGTTCCCCCCTGCCCTCCTGTACCTGCCCGTGAGCTCCTGCTGCCGGCGCTGCCCTTGCTGCTGCCCACGCTGTCCCCCCTGGTGAGGATGGAGATGCCACTGAAGCTGCTGGCTTTGGTGACAGGCGGCCTCAGGCTGCGGATGGAGCCGTCAGAGTCCGTGCTGCTCCAGGGACGCGGCTCCAGGGATTTGATGTCGCTCTCGGTGCTGCTCTGGCGGCTGCCAGGGCTCCTGCCCAGCCCTTCCCGGGCGCCCCTGCAGGGAGGGCACGACTCAAACCGGGCTCCAGGGCAGGGACAGGGCCAGAGCTGCTGCTGCTGCTGCACCAGTGCCCCCAGTGTGCTGGGCCTGGGAGCCTTTTGGGGCAGTGTGACAGCAAAAAAGGACAGGACAACGGGTTGTACGGGACACAGGTGCAGCAGGGAAGGGATAGGTTGGATGTTAGGAGGAAATTTTTCCACCAAAAGAATAATAAAGCACTGGAATGCTCTTCCCAGGGAGGTGGTGGAATCACCATCTCTGGATGTGGTTAAGGAAAGGCTGGACAGGCACTGGGTGCTACAGTCTGGGTGAGGTGTGAGGGCACAGGTTGGACTCGATGATCTCAGAGGGCTCTTCCAACCTTATTATTCTGTGATTCTGGGATTGATTCTGGGATTGATTCTGGGATTGATTCTGGGATTGACTCTGTGATTGATTCTGGGATTGATTCTGTGATTGATTCTGGGATTGATTCTGGGATTCATTCTGGGATTGATTCTGGGATTCATTCTGTGATTGATTCTGTGATTCTGGGATTGATTCTGGGATTGATTCTGGGATTGATTCTGGGATTCATTCTGGGATTCATTCTGTGATTCTGGGATTGATTCTGGGATTGAATCTGGGATTGATTCTGGGATTGATTCTGGGATTCATTCTGGGATTCATTCTGTGATTCTGGGATTGATTTTGGGATTGATTCTGGGATTGATTCTGGGATTGATTCTGGGATTCTGGGATTCTGGGATTGATTCTGGGATTGACTCTGGGATTCTGGGATTCATTCTGGGATTCATTCTGGGATTCATTCTGTGATTCTGGGATTGATTTTGGGATTGATTCTGGGATTCTGGGATTGATTTTGGGATTGATTCTGGGATTGGTTCTGGGATTGATTCTGGGATTGATTCTGGGATTGATTCTGGGATTCTGGGATTGATTCTGGGATTGATTCTGGGATTGATTCTGGGATTCTGTGAATCTGTGATTGATTCTGGGATTCTGGGATTCTGTGATTGATTCTGTGATTGAGGGATTCATTCTGTGATTGATTCTGTGATCCTGTGATTCATTCTGTGATTCTGTGATTGAGGGATTCATTCTGTGATTCTGTGATTCATTCTGTGATTCTGTGATCCTGTGACCCCTCTGACTCAAGGAGAGCTCTGCATTTTGACCTGAGGCCATGGAAAAGGCTCCCAGAATTGATTGATTTTGGGATCACTGCAGTGATTTTGGTGGCACTGAGATCATGGCTGTGCAGTTGATTACAAGTGTGTAATTTCACTTTTCTGCCAAAATCCAGCAGGCAGAAAGGCAGGGATGAGCATTTCCTATCTTTTTGGGAGAAAAAGAGGATTGAAAACTGCTGGAATTCCTCCCTGCCATTGCCACCCTCCTTTTGAATTTTAAACAGCCAAAAAGGACTCAAAATTGAAAGAAAACACTTTTAGAAACTCCCCTGGGGCATTCAGCGTGGCATGGCACAAATAAATCACAGGGAAATCCCTGCAAATCTGCCCCTGCCTGTGAGAGCAACAAGAAAAGCATTCTGTGGGGAGTGTGAGGAGGGAAAATCAACATTTTAGAGTCTCCCAGGGCAGAATTCACCCTCAGCAGCTCAGATGGAGCCCAAGACACTTCAGAGTCATCTTTAAATCACCCAGAATGGATAAGCAGGGATTAGGGACAGCCCTGCCTGATCCTGGCACTGTAAGGGCAGGGATTTCCTGTCCTTTTTGGGGGGAAAAAAGAGATTTGGAAACTGCTGGAATTCCTCAATTCCTCCCTGCCGTTCTCACCCTCCTTTTTCATTTTATTTTTGAAAGGAAAAAACAAAAACCCTTCAGGGCAGGGATTCCCTGTCCTTTTTGGGGGGAAAAAGAGATTTGGAAACTGCTGGAATTCCTCAATTCTGAAAGGAAAAAACAAAAACCCTTCAGGGCAGGGATTCCCTGTCCTTTTGGGGGAAAAAGAGATTTGAAAACTGCTGGAATTCCTCAATTCCTCCCTGCCGTTCTCACCCTCCTTTTTCATTTTATTTTTGAAAGGAAAACACAAAAACCCTTCAGGGCAGGGATTCCCTGTCCTTTTTGGGGGAAAAAAGAGATTTGGAAACTGCTGGAATTCCTCCCTGCCGTTCTCACCCTCCTTTTTCATTTTATTTTTGAAAGGAAAAAACAAAAAACACCTTCAGGGCAGGGATTCCCTGTCCTTTTTGGGGGGAAAAAAGAGATTTGGAAACTGCTGGAATTCCTCAATTCCTCCCTGCCGTTCTCACCCTCCTTTTTCATTTTATTTTTGAAAGGAAAAAACAAAAAACACCTTCAGGGCAGGGATTCCCTGTCCTTTTTGGGGGAAAAAAGAGATTTGGAAACTGCTGGAATTCCTCAATTCCTCCCTGCCGTTCTCACCCTCCTTTTTCATTTTATTTTTGAAAGGAAAAAACAAAAACCCTTCAGGGCAGGGATTTCCTGTCCTTTTTTGGGGAAAAAAAGAGATTTGAAAACTGCTGGAATTCCTCAATTCCTCCCTGCCGTTCTCACCCTCCTTTTTCATTTTATTTTTGAAAGGAAAAAACAAAAACCACCTTCAGTGAGTCCTGGAGCAGCCGTGCATGGCATGGCACAAAAAAAAATCAGAGAAATCCCTGCAAATCTGCATCTGTGGGTGGGAGCTGCAAGAAAAGCATTCTGGGGGGAATGTGGAGAGGGAAAAGCAGAATTTTATGGCATTTAAAATGAAATTATACCAGGGCAGCACTCACCTGCTGTCTGTGAGGAATCCATTCTGGCCAGACTGGGAGCAGCAGCAAGGTGGAGATGGGGAGGAAAGAAAAAAAAAAAGAGACTTCAAAAAAAAAAGTGGGAAAAACCCCAATTCCAGAGGGTGGGGATGGCACACGGAGGGTGCTGAGGGTGGTGCTGAGCCCCCTGCACAGCAGATCCCTGAGGGATCCATCCAGGGAATTCCCTGATCCCTCAGGTCTCCCAGTTCCTCCCAGGAAGGACGAAATTCCTTCTGGGAAGGACTAAATTCCTTCTAGGAAGGACTAAATTCCCTCTGGGAAGGACTAAATTCCTCATGGGAATACCCAAATTCCTTCTAGGAATGCCCAAATTCCTTCTGGGAATGCCCAAATTCCTTCTAGGAAAGACTAAATCCCTCCTGGGAATACCCAAATCCCTCCTGGGAATCGCCAGTTCCACCTAGGAAGTCCTAAATCCTTTCTGGGAATGCCCAAATCCATCCTGGGAATGCCCAATTCCTCCTGGGAGTGCCCAAATCCCTTCTGGGAATGCCCAAATTTCACCCAGGAATGCCCAAATCCCTTCTGGGAATGCCCAATTCCTCATAGGAAAACCTAAATTCCTCCTGGGAATGCCCAAATCCCTCCTGGGAAGGATTAAATTCCTCCTGGGGATGCCCAATTCCATATAGGAAGGTCCAAATTCCCTCCTGGAAATGCCCAAATTCCTCACGGGAAGGCCCAAATTCCTCCTGAGAATGCCTAAATCCCTCCTGAAAATACCAAATTCTTCCTAGGAAGGCCTAAATCCCTTCTAGGAATGCCCAAATTCCTCCTGGGAAGGCCCAAATCCCTCTGGGAGGGAGTAAATCCCTCCTGGAAAGGACTAAATTCCACCCATAAATGCCCAAATCCCTCCTAGAAATGCACAATTCCTCCTGGGAAGGCCCAAATCCCTCCTAAGAAGGGCTAAATTCCACCCAGAAATGCCCAAATTCCTTCTGGAAATGCCCAAATCCCTCTTGGAAATGCCCAAATCCCTTCTGGAAGTGCCCAAATTCCTTCTGGGAAGGCCCAAATCCCTCCTAGGAATGCACAATTCCTCCTGGGAAGGCCCAAATCCCTCCTAAGAAGGGCTAAATTCCACCCAGAAATGCCCAAATCCCTTCTGGAAATGCCCAAATCCCTTCTGGGAGTGCCCAAATCCCTCCTGGAAATGCCCAAATTCCTCCTGTAAATGCCCAATTCCTCCTTGAAATGCCCAAATCCCTCCTAAGAAGGGCTAAATTCCACCCAGGAATGCCCAAATCCCTCCTGGAATGCCCAAATCCCTTCTGGGAAGGCCCAAACTCCTCCCGGGAAGGCCCAAAACCCTCCTGGGAAGGCCCAAATCCTTCCTAAGGGCTAAATTCCACCCAGGAATGCCCAAATTCCTTCTGGAAATGCCCAAATTCCTTCTGGAAATGCCCAAATTCCCTGGAATTTTTGGAAGGAGCAGACTGGAGGCTGCAGCTGTGGCTCCTCCACCCCAGAAGCTCAACCACCTTTGCTGGAATCCAGCGGCCCCAAAACTCTGAGAAACGTTGGCAGGAAAAAATCAACATCTGCAATATTGAAGGGGAAACCTTGTGGCCCAAAGCTCCAGGAATAATAATAATAATAATGCTGATAATAATGATAATAAATTGGTGATTAATCATGATTTGGTGAAGGATCCCAAAACTCACCTCTCGTGCAAAGATCCTCTCCCTGACCCGCTGGTATTCCTCCTCCCGCTCCTCGATGGATTTGCTCCTTCTCCCATCCTGCAAGGGGAGTCTGATCTGAAGGGACAAACACAGCTCAGGGGTCAGCAGGAGCAGCCAGTGCTGCCAATTTTGGGTGGGAATTGTGGATTTGGTGATTTTGTGCACCTGCACCGACCTTGGAGACACCTGAGTGCAAGGATGAAGGGGCCAGGGGGTTCATTCCTGGCTGTTCCCAAATAGAAACCAGCCTGCCTGAGCTCTGCATGAGGCAGAAATCATGAATAGCACCCTGGTTTCATGGGGGAAATGTCAGGAATGTCACCCTGGAAAATCAGGAATACCACCCTGGTTTCATGGGGAAAAATCGGGAATGTCACCCTGGTTTCATGGGGAAAAATCGGGAATATCACCCTGGTTTCATGGGGAAAATATCAGGAATATCACCCTACAAAATCAGGAATATCACTCTGGTTTCATGGGGGAAATATCAGGAATATCAACCTAGAAAATCAGGAATATCACCCTGGTGTCATGGGGAAAATCAGAAATATTCAGAGGGAAAATCAGGAATATCACCCTGGTCCCAGAGGGAAAATCAATCAGGAATATCACCCTGGAAAATCAGGAATATCACCCTGGTTTCATGGGGAAAATATCAGAAATATTCATAGGGAAAATATCAGGAATATCACCCTGGTTTCATGGGGAAAATATCAGGAATGTCACCATGGAAAATCAGGAATATCACCCTGGTTTCATGGGGGAAATGTCAGGAATATCACCCTGGAAAATCAGGAATATCACCCTGGTTTCATGGGGGAAAATGTCAGGAATATCACCATGGAAAATCAGGAATATCACCCTGGAAAATCAGGAATATCAACCTGATCCAATGGGGAAAATCAGGAATATCACCCTGGAAAATCAGGAATATCAACCTACAAAATCAGGAATATCACTCTGGTTTCATGGGGGAAAAATCAGGAATGTTACCCTGGAAAATCAGGAATATCACCCTGGTTTAAGGGGGAAAACATCAGGAATGTCACCATGGAAAATGTCAGAAATATCACCCTGGAAAATCAGGAATATCACCCTGGTTTCATGGGGAAAAATCAGGAATATCACCCTGGTTTCATGGGGGAAAATCGGGAATGTCACCATGGAAAATCAGGAATATCACCCTGGTTTCATGGGGAAAAAACCAGGAATATCAGCCTGGAAAATCAGGAATATCACCCTGGTTTCATGGGGAAAATATCAGGAATATCAACCTGGAAAATCAGGAATATCACCCTGGTTTCATGGGGGAAAATCAGGAATGTCGCCATGGAAAATCAGGAATATCACCCTGGTTCCATGGGGAAAATCAGGAATATTCAGAGGGAAAATATCAGGAATATCACCCTGGTTTCATAGGGAAAAATCGGGAATATCACCCTGGAAAATCAGGAATGTCACCCTGGTTTCATGGAGGAAATATCAGGAATATCACCCTGGTTCCATGGGGAGAAACAGGAATATTCAGAGGGAAAATATCAGGAATATCTCCCTGGTTTCATGGGGGAAAATATCAGGAATGTCACCCTGGAAAATCAGGAATGTCTCCCTGGTTCCATGGGGAAATATCAGGAATGTCACCCTGGAGGGATATTCCTGCAAGGGGAGTCTGATCTGAAGGGACAAACACAGCTCAGGGGTCAGCAGGAGCAGCCAGTGCTGCCAATTTTGGGTGGGAATTGTGGATTTGGTGATTTTGTGCACCTGCACCGACCTTGGAGACACCTGAGTGCAAGGATGAAGGGGCCAGGGGGATCATTCCTGGCTGTTCCCAAATAGAAACCAGCCTGCCTGAGCTCTGCATGAGGCAGAAATCAGGAATAGCACCCTGGTTTCATGGGGAAAATATCAGGAATATCACCATGGAAAATCAGGAATATCACCCTGGTTTCATGGGGGAGAATCGGGAATATCATCCTGGAAAATCAGGAATATCACCCTGGTTTAATGGGGGAAATGTCAGGAATATCACCCTGGTTTCATGGGGAAAAATCAGGAATGTCACCCTGGTTTCATGGGGAAACTGTCAGGAATATCAACCTAGAAAATCAGGAATATCACCCTGGTTTCATGGGGAAAAATCGGGAATATCACCCTGATTTCATGGGGAAAATATCAGGAATATCACCATGGAAAATCAGGAATATCACCCTGGTTTCATGGGGGAAAATCAGGAATGTCACCCTGGAAAATCAGGAATATCTCCCTGGTTTCATGGGGGAAATGTCAGGAATGTCACCCTGGATAATCAGGAATATCACCCTGGAAAATCAGGAATATCACCCTGGTTCCATGGGGAAATATCAGGAATATTCAGAGGGAAAATATCAGGAATATCACCCTGGTTTCATGGGGAAAAAATCAGGAATATCACCCTGGTTTCATGGGGAAAAATCGGGAATATCACCCTGGTTTCATGGGGAAAATATCAGGAATATCAACCTGGAAAATCAGGAATACCACCCTGGTTTCATGGGGAAAATATCAGGAATATCACCATGGAAAACCAGGAATATCACCCTGGTTTCATGGGGAAAATATCAGGAATGTCACCCTGGAAAATCAGGAATATCACCCTGGTTCCATGGGGAAATATCAGGAATGTCACCCTGGAAAATCAGGAATAGCACCCTGGTTTCATGGGGAAAAATCAGGAATATCACCCTGGTTTCATGGGGAAAAATCGGGAATATCACCATGGAAAATCAGGAATATCACCCTGGTTTCATGGGGGAAATGTCAGGAATATCACCATGGAAAATCAGGAATATCATCCTGGAAAATCAGGAATGTCACCCTGGTTTCATGGGGAAATATCAGGAATGTCAGCCTGGAGGGATATTCCTGCAAGGGGAGTCTGATCTGAAGGGACAAACACAGCTCAGGGGTCAGCAGGAGCAGCCAGTGCTGCCAATTTTGGGTGGGAATTGTGGATTATTCGTGGATTTGGTGATTTTGTGCACCTGCACCGACCTTGGAGACACCTGAGTGCAAGGATGAAGGGGCCAGGGGGATCATTCCTGGCTGTTCCCAAATAGAAACCAGCCTGCCTGAGCTCTGCACGAGGCAGAAATCAGGAATAGCACCCTGGTTTCATGGGGAAAATATCAGGAATGTCACCATGGAAAATCAGGAATACCACCCTGGTTTCATGGGGAAAATATCAGGAATGTCACCAAGGAAAATCAGGAATATCACCCTGGAAAATCAGGAATATCACCCTGGTTTCATGGGGAAAAATCGGGAATATCACCCTGGAAAATCAGGAATATCACCCTGGTTTCATGGGGGAAAATCAGGAATATCAGCCTGGAAAATCAGGAATATCACCCTGGTTCCATGGGGAAATATAAGGAATATTCAGAGGGAAAATATCAGGAATATCACCCTGGTTTCATAGGGAAAAATCAGGAATATCACCCTGGTTTCATGGGGAAAATGTCAGGAATATCACCCTGGAAAATCAGGAATATCTCCCTGGTTTAATGGGGGAAAATATCAGGAATGTCACCCTGGAAAATCAGGAATGTCACCCTGGTTTCATGGGGAAATATCAGGAATATCTCCCTGGTTTCATGGGGGAAATATCAGGAATGTCACCCTGGAAAATCAGGAATATCACCATGGAAAATCAGGAGTATCACCCTGGTTTCATGGGGGAAATGTCACCCTGGAAAATCAGGAATATCACCCTGTTTTCATGGGGAAAATCAGAAATATTCAGAGGGAAAATCAGGAATATCACCCTGGTTTCATGGGGGAAAATCAGGAATATCACCATGGAAAATCAGGAATATCACCCTGGTTTCATGGGGGAAAATATCAGGAATGTCGCCAAGGAAAATCAGGAATGTCACCCTGGTTTCACAGGGAAAATCAGGAATGTCACCCTGGTTTCATGGGGAAAAATCGGGAATATCACCCAGGAAAATGTCAGGAATATCACCCTGGAAAATCAGGAATATCACCCTGGTTTCAAAGGAAAATCTAAAAAATTCCCATCAAAAATTCCCAAAAAATTCCCAAAAAATTCCCATCTAAAAAATTCCCATCAAAAATTCCCCAAAAATTCCCATTAAAAAATTCCCATCTAAAAAAAATTCCCATCTAAAAAATTCCCATCAAAAATTCCCATCTAAAATTCACATCTAAAAAAATTCCCATCAAAAATTCCCCAAAATTTCCCATCTAAAAAAATTCCCATCTAAAAAATTCCCATCTAAAAAAATTCCCATCAAAAATTCCCCAAAAATTCCCATCAAAAATTCCCCAAAAATTCCCATCTAAAATTCCCATCTAAAAAAATTCCCATCAAAAGTTCCCCAAAAATTCCCATTTAAAAAAAATTCCCATCTAAAAAATTCCCATCAAAAATTCCCCAAAATTTCCCATCTAAAAAAATTCCCATCTAAAAAATTCCCATCTAAAAAAATTCCCATCTAAAAAAATTCCCATCAAAAATTCCCAAAATTTCCCATCTAAAAAATTCCCATCTAAAAAAAATCCCATCAAAAGTTCCCCAAAAATTCCCATTTAAAAAAAATTCCCATCTAAAAAAAATTCCCAAAAAATTCCCATCTAAAAAATTCCCATCTAAAAAATTCACATCAAAAATTCCCATCTAAAATTCACATCTAAAAAAAATTCCCATCTAAAAAAAATTCCCAATCTAAAAAATTCCTCCCAGAACAGGCTCAGGAATTTTTTCAGGAATTTTTTCAGGAATTTTTTGCCCAGGGAAGCTGTGGCTGCCCCATCCCTGGAATGCCCAAGGCCAGGTTGGGGCACTGATGCTGCTCAATGCATTTGGGATGGTGGAAAATGTCCAGGGATGGAACTGGAGGAGCTTTAAGGGCTTTTCCAACCCCAATTATTCCATGTTTTTATGGAAATGGGAGCTGATATCATTGGGATAGGGCATGGCTTGCTGCAAGAGGAGAAAGCAAAATATTCCCAAAGAAACCTTGGAAAAAGGCTCCACTTTTTAAAACCTGGCCTGGCCTCCAGCTGATTTTGGGGAATGGAGAAGCAGAGCCATGAAACCCACAGCAATTTTTCATCCATTTCCATAAAATTGGGCAAAAAAATCTTTGATGAAATTCAGATGTTGCAGCCTGGGTGGGGTGGGAGCTTCCATGGGATGAGAGGCAGGAGAATTTTGGAGTTTTTGTGCTCTTGGGAGGAGAATTTTGGAGTTTTTGTGCTGTGCCCTCCCTCACCTGGTTGTCGTCCTGCTCCAGGGAAAATCAGGAATATCACCCTGGTTTCACAGGGAAAATCAGGAATATCACCCTGGTTTCATGGGGGAAATGAGGAATATCTCCCTGGTTTCAGAAAATCAGGAATATCACCTTGGGTTAAGGGGGAAAATCAGGAATATCACCCTGATCCAATGGGGAAAATATCAGGAATATCACCCTGGAAAATCAGGAATATCACCCTGGTTTCAAGAGGGAAAATCAGGAATACCACCATGGTCACTGGTTCCATGAGGAAAAGCAGGAATATTCAGAGGGAAAATCAGGAATATCACCTTGGTTTAAGGGGGAAAATCAAGAATATCACCCTGATCCAACAGGGAAAATCAGGAATATCACCCTGATCCAATGGGGAAAATCAGGAATATCACCCTGGTTTCAAAGGAAAATCTAAAAAATTCCCATCAAAAATTCCCCAAAATTTCCCATCTAAAAAAATTCCCATCTAAAAAATTCCCATAAAAAATTCCCATCTAAAAAATTCCCATCTAAAAAAAATTCCCAAAAAATTCCCATCTAAAAAATTCCCATCTAAAAAATTCCCATCTAAAAAAATTCCCATCTAAAATTCCCCAAAATTTCCCATCTAAAAAATTCCCATCTAAAAAAATTCCCATCTAAAAAAAATTCCCAAAAAATTCCCATCTAAAAAATTCCCATCTAAAAAAATTCCCATCTAAAAAATTCCCATCAAAAATTCCCATCTAAAAAAAATTCCCAAAAAATTCCCAATCTAAAAAATTCCTCCCAGAACAGGCTCAGGAATTTTTTCAGGAATTTTTGCCCAGGGAAGCTGTGGCTGCCCCATCCCTGGAATGCCCAAGGCCAAGCTGGGGCACTGATGCTGCTCAATGCATTTGGGATGGTGGAAAATGTCCAGGGATGGAACTGGAGGAGCTTTAAGGGTTTTTCCAAGCCCAATTATTCCATGTTTTTATGGAAATGGGAGCTGATATCATTGGGATAGGGCATGGCTTGCTGCAAGAGGAGAAAGCAAAATATTCCCAAAGAAACCTTGGAAAAAGGCTCCACTTTTTAAAACCTGGCCTGGCCTCCAGCTGATTTTGGGGAATGGAGAAGCAGAGCCATAAAACCCACAGCAATTTTTCATCCATTTCTATAAAATTGGGCAAAAACAAATCTTTGATGAAATTCAGATGTTGCTGCCTGGGTGGGGTGGGAGCTCCCATGGGATGAGAGGCAGCAGAATTTTTGAGTTTTTGTGCTCCTGGGAGGAGAATTTTGGAGTTTTTGTGCTCCTGGGAGCTTTGCCAAGGCCGCCCTGTGCCCTCCCTCACCTGGTTGTCGTCCCACTCCAGGGAAAATCAGGAATATCACCCTGGTTTCATGGGGAAACTGTCAGGAATATCACCCTGGAAAATCAGGAATATCACCCTGGTTTCATGGGAGAAATATCAGGAATGTTACCCTGGAAAATCAGGAATATCACCCTGGTTTCATGGGGAAAATATCAGAAATATCTCCCTGGTTTCATGGGGGAAATATCAGGAATGTCACCCTGGAAAATCAGGAATATCACCCTGGTTTCATGGGGAAAATCAGAAATATTCAGAGGGAAAATCAGGAATATCACCCTGGTCCCAGAGGGAAAATCAATCAGGAATATCACCCTGGAAAATCAGGAATATCACCCTGGTTTCACGGGGAAAATCAGGAATATCACCCTGGTTTCATGGGGGAAATGAGGAATATCTCCCTGGTTTCAGAAAATCAGGAATATCACCTTGGGTTAAGGGGGAAAATCAGGAATATCACCCTGATCCAATGGGGAAAATATCAGGAATATCACCCTGGAAAATTAGGAATATCACCCTGGTTTCAAGAGGGAAAATCAGGAATACCACCATGGTCACTGGTTCCATGAGGAAAAGCAGCAATATTCAGAGGGAAAATCAGGAATATCACCTTGGTTTAAGGGGGAAAATCAAGAATATCACCCTGATCCAACAGGGAAAAGTCAGGAATATCACCCTGGTTTCAAAGGAAAATCTAAAAAATTCCCATCAAAAATTCCCAAAAAATTCCCATCTAAAAAAAATTCCCATCTAAAAAATTCCCAAAAAATTCCCATCTAAAAAAATTCCCATCTAAAAAATTCCCAGAAAAAATTCCCATCTAAAAAAATTCCCATCTAAAAAATTCCCATCAAAAATTCCCCAAAATTTCCCATCTAAAAAAATTCCCATCTAAAAAAATTCCCATCTAAAAAAATTCCCATCAAAAATTCCCAAAAAATCCCCATCTAAAAAATTCCCATCTAAAAAATTCCCATCTAAAATTCCCATCTAAAAAATTCCCATCTAAAAAAATTCCCATCTAAAATTTCCCATCTAAAAAAATTCCCATCTAAAAAATTCCCATCTAAAAAATTCCCATCTAAAAAAATTCCCATCTAAAATTCCCCAAAATTTCCCATCTAAAAAATTCCCATCTAAAAAAAATCCCATCAAAAATTCCACAAAAATTCCCATCAAAAATTCCCCAAAAATTCCCATCTAAAATTCCCATCTAAAAAAATTCCCATCAAAAGTTCCCCAAAAATTCCCATTTAAAAAAAATTCCCATCTAAAAAAAAATCCCAAAAAATTCCCAATCTAAAAAATTCCTCCCAGAACAGGCTCAGGAATTTTTTCAGGATTTTTTTCAGGAATTTTTGCCCAGGGAAGCTGTGGCTGCCCCATCCCTGGAATGCCCAAGGCCAGGCTGGGGCACTGATGCTGCTCAATGCATTTGGGATGGTGGAAAATGTCCAGGGATGGAACTGGAGGAGCTTTAAGGGTTTTTCCAAGCCCAATTATTCCATGTTTTTATGGAAATGGGAGCTGATATCATTGGGATAGGGCATGGCTTGCTGCAAGAGGAGAAAGCAAAATATTCCCAAAGAAACCTTGGAAAAAGGCTCCACTTTTTAAAACCTGGCCTGGCCTCCAGCTGATTTTGGGGAATGGAGAAGCAGAGCCATAAAACCCACAGCAATTCTTCATCCATTTCCATAAAATTGGGCAAAAAAATCTTTGATGAAATTCAGATGTTGCTGCCTGGGTGGGGTGGGAGCTTCCATGGGATGAAAGGCAGGAGAATTTTGGAGTTTTTGTGCTGTGCCCTCCCTCACCTGGTTGTCGTCCCGCTCCAGGGAAAATCAGGAATATCAACCTGGTTTCACAGGGAAAATCAGGAATATCAACCTGGTTTCATGGGGGAAATGAGGAATATCTCCCTGGTTTCATGGGGGAAATGAGGAATATCTCCCTGGTTTCAGAAAATCAGGAATATCACCTTGGGTTAAGGGGGAAAATCAGGAATATCACCCTGATCCAATGGGGAAAATATCAGGAATCTCACCCTGGAAAATCAGGAATATCACCCTGGTTTCAAGAGGGAAAATCAGGAATACCACCATGGTCACTGGTTCCATGAGGAAAAGCAGCAATATTCAGAGGGAAAATCAGGAATGTCACCTTGGTTTAAGGGGGAAAATCAAGAATATCACCCTGGTTTCAAAGGAAAATCTAAAAAATTCCCATCAAAAATTCCCCTGATCCAGTTGGGGAATGGAGAAGCAGAGCCATAAAACCCACAGCAATTTTTCATCCATTTCCATAAAATTGGGCAAAAAAAAATCTTTGATGAAATTCAGATGTTGCTGCCTGGGTGGGGTGGGAGCTCCCATGGGATGAAGGGCAGGAGAATTTTGGAGTTTTTGTGCTCTTGGGAGGAGAATTTTGGAGTTTTTGTGCTCTTGGGAGGAGAATTTTGGAGTTTTTGTGCTGTGCCCTCCCTCACCTGGTTGTCGTCCCGCTCCATGCTGGTGTCATCCCTCTTCAGGATGAACCTCTGAGGGAATTCTGCGCTCTTCTCGTCCTTGATGTGCTCAGAGAATCTCTGCTCGGGGCTGCAAGAGAACCAGCCCTTGTTAGGAGGGGAAAAAAAGCACTTTTAAGGTGAAATTTGTGGGAAATTTGGGGGAAATTTGGGGGAAATTTGGGGGAAATTTGGGGGAAATTTCAGCTCCTGTCCCTTCCTCCAGGAGCTGTGGAGAGGCAGGGAGGGCTGGAAGGAAAAGGTTTTTCTTCCCTGTGCCCCTTCATTCTGTGATTCTGGTTTTAGAGAGGGAGCTTCACCTCTAATGAGGTAAAAAAAAATTATAAATGTGGTGTGGAACCCATCCTGGTACAGAGGATTCCTGGGATGTGGGGAAGGGAGAGGGGAAAGGGGAAGGAAAAAGGGAAAGGGGAAATGGAAAGAAGAAGGGGAAGGAAAAGGGGAAGGAAAAGGGGAAGGAAAAGGGGAAGGAAAAGGGGAAGGAAAAGGGGAAGGGGAAGAAGAAGGGGGAAAAGAAGGGGGAAAAGAAGGAGGAAAAGAAGGGGAAGGGAAAGGGAAAAAGGGAATGAGAAAAAGGGAAAGAAGAAGGAAAGGAAAAAGGGGAAGGGGAAGAAGAAGGTGAAGGAGAAGGGGAAGGAAAAGGGAAGAGAAAGAGGGAAAAGGAAAGAGGAAGGAAAAGGAAAAGGGGGAAGGGGATGAGAGAAGAAGAAGGGGAAGAAGGAAAAAGGGAAAGGGCAAAAGGGGAAGGGAAAAGGGGAAAGGGAAAAGGGGAAGAGGAAGAAGGCGGGGAAGGAGAAGGGGAAGGAGAAGGGGAAGGAGAAGGGGGAAAAGAAGGCGAAGGGAAAGGGAAAAGGGAAAGAGAAAAAGGGAAAGAGGAAGGAAAGGAAAAAGGGGAAGGGGAAGAAGAAGGGAAAGAAGAAGGGGAAGGAAAAGGGAAGGGAAAGAGGGAAAAGGGAAGAGGAAGGAAAAGGAAAATGGGGAAGGGGATGAGAGAAGAAGAAGGGGAAGAAGGAAAAAGGGAAAGGGCAAAAGGGAAAGGGAAAAGGGAATGGGAAAAGGGGAAGGGAAAAGGGGAAAGGGAAAAGGGGAAAGGGAAAAGGGGAAAGGGAAAAGGGGAAGGGAAAAAGGGGAAGGGAAAAAGGGGAAGAGGAAGAAGACGGGGAAGAAGAAGGGGAAGAGAATGGGAAAGGCAAAAGGGAAAAAGGGAAGAGATGGAAAAGGGGAAAAGCAAGGGGAAGGAATCAAGGGGAAGGAAGAAAAGGGAAGGTAGAAAGGGGAAGGAAGAAAGGGGAAGGAAGAAAGGGGAAGGAAGAAAAGGGAAGGTAGAAAGGGGAAGGAGGAAAGGGGAAGGAGGAAAGGGGAAGAAAGAAAGGGGAAGGAAGAAAGGGGAAGGAAGAAAAGGGAAGGTAGAAAGGGGAAGGAAGAAGGGGAAGGAAGAAAAGGGAAGGTAGAAAGGGGAAGGAGGAAAGGGGAAGGAGGAAAGGGGAAGAAAGAAAGGGGAAAAGCAAGGGAAAGGAAGAAGGGGAAGGAAGCAGGGAAGGAAGCAGAGAACGAGGAAAGGGGAAGGAAGCAGGGAAGGAGCAAGGGAAGGAGGAAAGGGGAAGGAAGCAGGGAAGGAGACAGGGAAGGAGCAAGGGAAGGAGCAAGGGGAAAAGCAAAGGAAAGGAAGCAGGGAAGGAGCAAGGAAAGGAAGCAGGGAAGGAAGCAGGGAAGGAAGCAGGGAAGGAGCCAGGGGAAGGAGCAAAGGAAAGGAAGCAGGGAAGGAGGCAGGGAAGGAGCAAGGGAAGGAGGAATGGGGAAGGAAGCAGGGAAGGAGCAAGGAAAGGAAGCAGGGAAGGAGGCAGGGAAGGAGGAAAGGGGAAGGAGGCAGGGAAGGAAGCAGGGAAGGAGGAAGGGAAGGAGCAAAGGAAAGGAAGCAGGGAAGGAAGCAGGGAAGGAGGAAAGGGGAAGGAAGCAGGGAAGGAGGAAAGGGGAAGGAGGCAGGGAAGGAGCAAGGGGAAAAGCAAAGGAAAGGAAGCAGGGAAGGAAGCAGGGAAGGAGGCAGGGAAGGAGGAAAGGGGAAGGAGGAAAGGGGAAGGAAGCATGGAAGGAGGCAGGGAAGGAAGCAGGAAAGGAGCAAGGGAAGGAAGCAGGGAAGGAGCAAGGGAAGGAGCAAAGGAAAGGAAGCAGGGGAAGGAAGCAGGGAAGAAGGAAGCATGGAAGGAGCAAGGGAAGGCGCTTACATTCGCGTGTTGCTGGTCTTGTTGATGATCACAGCCTTGCCAGTCTGATCCACGTTGTGATCCATGCCGAAGTACGCAGCCACGCGGTGCAGCAGCATGCGGTGGTACGAGGTCATCTGGGGGAACTTCTTGAACTGATTGCTGGGACACAGGGACAGGGACAGGGACAGGGACAGTCACTTCCACCCCTGCCACCTCAGGGTGTGCAGGAGAACATCCTCACCCTGCTCCAAATCCCCAAATTCCCAAATCTCCGTTGGGAAATTCCCCTTGCTCGGCACAGACTCCAGCACCACTGGTTTTCAAATACACTGAATTGAACAGCAGATTTTTCAAAGACAATGAATTAAACTTACTTGTTATCACTAATGAACTCCAGAATCTCCTGTTCCAACTTGAGCAGCATCATTCTGTCCCTGTCAGGGATGAAAAGAAAGATTGAAAAGGTGACTTTAGGGATAGGGAGCAGCATTCCCTGCTGCCAAGCCCTGTCCTGCAGCAGAAAAAGTCACAGGAGGAAGGGAGATCTGATTTTACACAGAAATGGGCTAAAATAACTCCAGGTTTTTCAAATACACTGAATTGGACAGCAGATTTTTCAAATACACTGAATTAAACACCAGATTTTTCAAATACATTGAAATAAACAGCAGATTTTTCAAATACATTGAATTGAACAGCAGATTTTTCAAAGACACTGAATTAAACACAGATTTTTCAAATACACTGAATTGAACACAGATTTTCCAAATACACTGAATTGGACACCAGATTTTTCTAATACACTGAATTGAACACAGATTTTTCAAATACTCTTATTGAACTCCAGGTTTTTCAAAGACACTGAATTAAACAGCAGATTTTTCAAATACATTGAATTAAACACCAGAATTTTCAAATACTCTTAATTGAACACCAGGTTTTCCAAATACACTGAATTAAACAAAGATTTTTCAAGGACACTGAATTAAACACAGATTTTTCAAGGACACTGAATTGAACACCAGATTTTCCAAATACATTGAATTAAACACAGATTTTTCACATACACTGAATTAAACACAGATTTTTTAAATACACTGAATTGAACACAGATTTTCCAAATACACTGAATTAAAACACAGATTTTCCAAATATACAGAATTGAACAGCAGATTTTTCAAAGACACTGAATTAAACACAGATTTTTCAAATACTCTGAATTGGACACCAGATTTTTCTAATACACTGAATTGAACAGGAGATTTTTCAAAGACACTGAATTGGACACCAGATTTTTCAAAGACATTGAATTAAACAGCAGATTTTCCAAATACACAGAATTGAACAGCAGATTTTCCAAATACACTGAATTAAACACAGATTTTTCAAATACACTGAATTAAACACCAGATTTTTCAAATACATTGAATTAAACAGCAGATTTTCCAAATACTCTGAATTAAACAGCAGATTTTTTACATACACTGAATTAAACACAGGTTTTCCAAATACACTGAATTAAACACAGATTTCCCAAAGACACTGAATTAAACACAGATTTTTCAAATACTCTGAATTAAACTGCAGATTTTTCAAATACACTGAATTGAACAGCAGATTTTCCAAATACACTGAATTAAACACAGATTTTCCAAATACACTGAATTGAACACAGATTTTCCAAATACATTGAATTAAACACAGATTTTTCAAGTACACTGAATTGAACACCAGATTTTTCAAAGACACTGAATTAAACACAGATTTCCCAAATACACTGAATTAAACACAGATTTTTCAAATACTCTTAATTGAACTCCAGGTTTTTCAAAGACACTGAATTGAACACAGATTTTCCAAAGACACAGAATTGAACACAGATTTTCCAAATACACTGAATTAAACACAGATTTTCCAAATACACAGAATTGAACAGCAGATTTTTCAAATACTCCAAATTGAACAGCAGATTTTCCCAATACACTGAATTAAACACAGATTTTCAAATACACTGAATTAAACACAGATTTTCCAAATACACTGAATTAAACACAGATTTTTCACATACACAGAATTAAACACAGATTTCCGAAATACATTGAATTAAACACAGATTTTCCAAATACACTGAATTGAACAGCAGATTTTCCAAATACATTGAATTAAACACAGATTTTCCAAATACACTGAATTGAACAGCAGATTTTCCAAATACATTGAATTAAACACAGATTTTTCAAAGACACTGAATTAAACACAGATTTTCCAAATACACAGAATTGAACAGCAGATTTTTCAAATACTCTGAATTGAACTCCAGGTTTTTCAAATACACTGAATTAAACAGGAGATTTTTCAGACACTGAATTAAACACCAGATTTTCCAAATACACTGAATTAAACACAGATTTTTCCAAATACACTGAATTAAACACAGATTTTCCAAATACACTGAATTAAACACCAGATTTTTCACATACACAGAATTGAACACAGATTTTCCAAAGACACTGAATTAAACACAGATTTTCCAAATACACTGAATTAAACAGCAGATTTTTCAAAGACACTGAATTAAACACAGATTTTCCAAATACACTGAATTAAACACAGATTTTCCAAAGACACTGAATTAAACAGCAGATTTTTCAAATACATTGAATTAAACACCAGATTTTTCAAATACATTGAATTAAACACAGATTTTTCAAAGACACTGAATTAAACAGCAGATTTTCCAAATACTCTGAATTGAACACAGATTTTTCAAATACTCTTAATTGAATACCAGATTTTTCAAAGACATTGAATTAAACACAGATTTTCCAAATACACTGAATTGAACAGCAGATTTTTCAAGGACACTGAATTGAACACAGATTTTCCCAATACTCTGAATTGAACACAGATTTTTCAAATACTCTGAATTAAACAGCAGATTTTTCAGACACTGAATTAAACACAGATTTTTCACATACATTGAATTAAACACAGATTTTTCAAAGACACCGAATTGAACACAGATTTTCCAAATACACTGAATTAAACACAGATTTTTCAAATACACTGAATTGAACACAGATTTCCCAAATACACTGAATTAAACACAGATTTTCCACATACACTGAATTAAACACCAGATTTTCCAAATACATTGAATTAAACACAGATTTTTCAAATACATTGAATTGAACTCCAGATTTTCCAAATACTCTGAATTAAACAGCAGATTTTTCACATACACAGAATTAAACACAGATTTTCCACATACACTGAATTAAACACAGATTTCCCACATACACAGAATTAAACACAGATTTTTTCCACTTTAAGGTTGCTTTGCTAACAATGCCTGGCTTTGGAAAGCCTCAATCTCTGCTGGAAGCTCCAATTTTGCCATTCCCTGCCAACCTCTCCTGAATCCCACTGATTATTCCCTTTACAGGCTGGCACTTGAAAACCATTTATAGAAAAGAGTTTAAAGCCATTTCAAATTCTTTCTTTGCATTCAAACAAATTATTTGTCCTTCTCTCTTCACATTTGGAATTGAGCAGGATATATAAAATTACAGTTGTGCTTTTAGTTTCTGGTAACTCTTGGAATTCCAAAGAGGAAAATACAGAAATATTTGCAGGAATGGACACACAGAGCCCTCAGGGAGTTGTTTTATTGACCATGACTTACCTTGGGTTTTTTTTCAGTGTATTTACTAAAAATTCATGTAAATCTATTCCAGTGGAGTCTGTATATTCCTGGCTGGAATCTGGAAAAATAAAAAAGCAACAATGGAAGTAGAAAAAATTTAAAAAATCATTGGGGTAGCAGAGAGAGAAGGAAAAAGGGGGGAAAGGAAAAAAGGGGGGAAAGGAAAAAAGGGGGAAGGAAAAAAGGGGGGAAAGGAATAAAGGGGGAAAGGAAAAAAGGGGAGAAGGAAAAAAGGGGGAAAAGGAAAAAAGGGGGAAAAGGAAAAAATGGGGGAAAGGAAAAAAGGGGAAAAGGAAAAAAGGGGAAAAGGAAAAAAGGGGGAAAAGGAATAAAGGGGGGAAAAGGAAAAAAGGGGAGAAGGAAAAAAGGGGGGAAAAGAAAAAAGGGGAAAAGGGAAAAAGGGGGGAAAGGAAAAAATGGGGGAAGGAAAAAAGGGGGAAGGAAAAAGAGTGAAAGGAATAAAGGAGGAAAAGGGGAAAAGGGGGAAAAGGGAAAAAGTGGGGAAAGGAAAAACAGTGAAAGGAAAAAAGGGGGAAAAGGAATAAATGGGGGAAAAGGAAAAAATGGGGGGAAAAGGAAAAAAGGGGGGAAAGGAAAAAAGGGGAGAAAGGAAAAAAGGGGGGAAAGGAAAAATGGGGGGAAAAGGAAAAAATGGGGAAAGGGGAAAAAGGGGAGAAGGGGAAAAAGGGGGGAAAGGAAAAAGAGTGAAAGGAAAAAAGGGGGGAAGGAAAAAAGGGGGGAAGGAAAAAAGGGGGGAAAGGAAAAATGGGGGGAAAGGAAAAAACGGGGAAAGGAAAAAAGGGGGAACAAAAAAAGGGGGGAAAGGAAAAAAGGGGGAAAGGAAAAATGGGGGGAAAAGGAAAAGAGTGAAAGGAATAAAAGAGGAAAAGGAAAAAAGGGGGAAAAGGGAAAAAAGGGGGAAAGGAAAAAAGGGGAGAAGGAAAAAAGGGGGGAAGGGGAAAATGGGGGGAAAGGAAAAAATGGGGGGAAGGAAAAAAGGGGGAAAGGAAAAAAGGGGGAAGGGAATAAATGGGAAAAAGAAAAAAGGGGGGAAAAGGAAAAAAGGAGGAAAAGGAAAAAAGGGGGGAAAGGAAAAAATGGGGGGAAAAGGAAAAAATGGGGGGAAAAGGAAAAAATGGGGGGAAAAGGAAAAAAGGGGGGAAAAGGAAAAAAGGGGAAAAGGAAAAATGGGGGAACAAAAAAAGGGGGAAAGGAAAAAAGGGGGGAAAGGAAAAAAGGGGAAAGGAAAAAATGGGGGGAAAAGGAAAAAAAAGGGGGAAAAGGGAAAAAGGGGGGAAAGGAAAAAGGGGGGAAAGGAAAAAAGGGGAAAAAGGAAAAAAGGGGGAAAAGGAAAAAATGGGGGGAAAAGGAAAAAAGTGGGAAAAGGAAAAAAGGGGGGAAGGAAAAAAGGGGGGAAAGGAAAAAGAGTGAAAGGAATAAAGGAGGAAAAGGAAAAAAGGAAGAAAAGGGAAAAAAGGGGGGAAAGGAAAAAAGGGGAAAAGGAAAAAAGGGGGTAAAGGAAAAAAGGAGGGGAAAGAAAAAAGGGGGAAAGGAAAAAAGGAGGAAAAGGAAAAAAGGGGGAAAAGGAAAAAAAAAGAGGAAAAGGGGAAAAAGGGGAAAAGGAAAAAAAGGGGGAAAGGAAAAAATGGGGGGAAAGGAAAAAAAGGGGGAAGGAAAAAAGGGGGGGAAAAGGAAATAAAGGGAGAAGGAAAAAAGGGGGAAAGGAAAAAATGGGGGGAAAAGGAAAAAATGGGGGGAAAAGGGAAAAAGGGGGGAAAAGGAAAAAAGGGGAAAAGGAAAAATGGGGGAATGAAAAAAGGGGAGAAGGGGAAAAAGGGGGAAAAAGAAAAAAGGGGAAAAAGGAAAAAAGGGGGGAAAGGAAAAGAGTGAAAGGAATAAAGAAGGAAAAGGAATAAAGGAGGAAAAGGGAAAAAAAGGGAGAAGGAAAAAACGGGGGAAAGGAAAAGAGTGAAAGGAATAAAGGAGGAAAAGGAAAAAAGGGGGGAAGGAAAAAAGGGGGGAAAGAAAAAAAGGGGGGAAAGGAAAAGGAGTGAAAGGAATAAAGGAGGAAAAGGAAAAAAGGGAGAAAAGGGAAAAAAGGGGAAAAGGAAAAAGGGATGAGTGTAGGTGAACCTGGAGAAGAGAAGAATCCAGGGAGACCTTGGAGCTCCCTCCAGTGCCTCATTTTTTCTACTAATAAATACTTTACCTATTAAATAAACCAATTTTTTCCCACTTTTCACCAAAAAAAAAAAATCTTTTCCCCAAACCAATTTAAAAAAAAACCACTTAAGTTTATTTTCTAAAAAAAAAAAAAAAAAAAATTAAAATGTTTTCTCCCAAAATTACCCTAAACCAAAACAAAAAAAACCCAAACACCTCCAACCACCTGTCCCACTTCCAGAAGGTTCCCAGAGCAGCACCTGACCTCGAGAGAGCATCTTCCTTGGTGCTTTTTCTTTATTTTTCTCTTTTTCTTCTTTCTCCACCCCATCTTTGGTGGATTTCTCCTCCTCCTTGTCGGAGGGGCAGCTCACGTGCAGCTGGATGATGTCCTGGGGGGAGAAAAATAAAGGAGGTTCAGCCATTCCCTGAGCAGAAAAGCAGCTCAGGAAGGTCTCAAAAAGCCCTTGTAGGAATTTTTTTGGCTCCTCAGGGCGAGGCCTGGATAATTTTTGATTTTTTCTGGGTTTCCAAAAGCTCAGATTTGTCTCGTTCTGGGCCTACCTGAGACTCCAGCAGCCCATCCACGAAGGGGCCTGAGGATTCCTCACACACAGCCAAGCTCCTGACCAGTTTAAGCTTTGAGTTGGACTGAAAAAGATGAAAAAAAAGGGAAATAATTACAAGATCTCAGCTAAAATTCACACTTGAATTCCTGCAGCTGCATTCCCGAGGCACCGGCGCAGCCATTCCCAATTAAATCCCAATTAATCTGCCCAATAAAAGGAATATTCCCCTCAATATGCAGATATAGAATGACCTGGAATCCCTGAATAATCAGTTATTTTAATAAGAGGAATATTGGAATATTCCCTCAATATACAGATATAGAATGACCTGGAATCCCTGAATAATCCCTGAATAATCAGTTATTTTAATAAGAGGAATATTGGAATATTCCCTCAATATACAGATACAGAATTACTTGAAATCCCTGAATAATCAGTTATTTTATTCCTTCAGCCTTTAAAGCATAAATTTCCCACTTAATCTGCCCAATAAGAGGAATATTCTCCTCAATATACAGATATAGAATGACCTGGAATCCCTGAATAATCAGTTATTTTAATAAGAGGAATATTCCCCTCAATATACAGATATACAATAACTTGGAATCCCTGAACAATTAATTGTTTTATTCCTTCAGCCTTTAAAGCATAAAATTCCCAATTAAACTGGCCAATAAGAGGAATATTCCCCTCAATATACAGATATAGAATGACCTGGAACCCCTGAATAATCCCTGAATAATCAATTATTTTAATAAGAGGAATATTCCCCTCAATATACAGATACAGAATGACTTGGAATCCCTGAACAATTAATTGTTTTATTCCTTCAGCCTTTAAAGCATAAAATTCCCAATTAATCTGCCCAATAAAAGGAATATTCCCCTCAATATACAGACACACAATGACTTGGAATCCCTGAATAATCAGTTATTTTAATAAGAGGAATACTCCCTTCAATATACAGATACAGAATTACTTGAAATCCCTGAATAATCAGTTATTTTATTCCTTTTATTTATTGAAGCATAAAATTCCCAATTAATCTGCCCAATAAAAGGAATATTCCCCTCAATATGCAGATATAGAATGACCTGGAATCCCTGAAAAATCCCTGAATAATCAATTATTTTAATAAAGGAATATTCCCCTCAATATACAGATATAGAATGACCTGAAATCCCTGAATAATCAGTTATTTTATTCCTTTTATTTATTGAAGCATAAAATTCCTAATTAAACTGCCCAATAAGAGGAATATTCCCTCAATATACAGATACAGAATGACTTGGAATCCCTGAACAATCAGTTATTTTATTCCTTCAGCCTTTAAAGCATAAAATTCCCAATTAATCTGCCCAATAAGAGGAATATTCCCCTCAATATACAGATACAGAATGACCTGAAATCCCTGAATAATCCCTGAATAATCAGTTATTTTATTCCTTCAGCCTTTAAAGCATAAAATTCCCAATTAAACTGCCCAACAAAAGGAATATTCCCCTCAATATACAGATACAGAATTACTTGAAATCCCTGAAAAATCAGTTATTTTAATAAGAGGAATACTCCCTTCAATATACAGATACAGAATGACCTGAAATCCCTGAATAATCCCTTATTCCTTTTATTTATTGAAGCATAAAATTCCCAATTAATCTGCCCAATAAGAGGAATATTCCCCTCAATATACAGATATAGAATGACCTGGAATCCCTGAATAATCAGTTATTTTAATAAGAGGAATATTGGAATATTCCCTCAATATACAGATATAGAATGACCTGGAATCCCTGAATAATCCCTGAATAATCAGTTATTTTAATAAGAGGAATATTGGAATATTCCCTCAATATACAGATACAGAATTACTTGAAATCCCTGAATAATCAGTTATTTTATTCCTTCAGCCTTTAAAGCATAAATTTCCCACTTAATCTGCCCAATAAGAGGAATATTCTCCTCAATATACAGATATAGAATGACCTGGAATCCCTGAATAATCAGTTATTTTAATAAGAGGAATATTCCCCTCAATATACAGATATACAATGACTTGGAATCCCTGAACAATTAATTGTTTTATTCCTTCAGCCTTTAAAGCATAAAATTCCCAATTAAACTGGCCAATAAGAGGAATATTCCCCTCAATATAAAGATACACAACGATTTGGAATTCCAGAACAATCAATTATTTTATTCCTTTTATTTATTGAAGCATAAAATTCCCAATTAATCTGCCCAATAAGAAGAATATTCCCCTCAATATACAGATATAGAATGACCTGAAATCCCTGAATAATCAGTTATTTTATTCCTTCAGCCTTTAAAGCAAACTTTAGCTGGGAAATTCCCTGCCTTAATTCTCCCTGACTTCCAGCCAGAGCAATTCCAGCTTTTTTCCTGTTGGAAAGGAGCACATGGAAATCCCTGTCCTGAGGCACCACCTGCTTTTCCAGGGACAGGAAAGGCTCAGGAGCAGCAGCCAAAGCTGGGCTCAGGAATTGGAGCAGCCCAAAGGAAATTGGGGGAGCAGCAGAGCTCCTACCTTGGCTCTTTTCCTGGCGTGGCCGTGACTCGACGTTCGCTTCTGCGGAGAGAGGAAAAGGCAAAGATTTAATCTGGGAATTCCCTGCCCTTCCTGGGACATAAAAAGGGATCAGGACAGAGAGGCTGCTGGGGCTGGACCTGGCTGGGAAGGGTTTGAGGAGGTGTCCATGCTGCAAAACAAAAGGGAATTTTATTTGCCATTGGTTAGAGGTGAGGCAGTTGTAGATTTCTGTACCTCTGCCACAAACCAAGCCTCCCTCCAGGAGCTATCTCCTGTTAATTGGTCATTAATTATTAATTATCTCCTGTTCACAGGCCATTTTATGAATTATCTGCTGTTCATGGGCCAATGAGTGTCCCTGCATGGCTGATAAAATTCCATCATCCCATTGGGAGATGAGAGCCCAGGGGAGGAGCCAAACATTCCTGCCTGGATACAATCTGAGATTTCAAACATTCCTACCTGGATACAATCTGAGATTTCAAACATTCCTACCTGGATACAATCTGATGTTTCAAACATTTTTACCTGGGTATAATCTGAGATTTCAAACATTCCTGCCTCGATGGAATCTGAGATTTCAAACATTCCTACCCGGATAAAATCTGATGTTTCAAACATTCCTACCTGATGGAATCTGATGTTTCAAACATTCCTACCTGATGGAATCTGAGATTTCAAACATTCCTACCTGGATACAATCTGAGATTTCAAACATTCCTACCCAGATATAATCTGAGATTCCAAACATTCCTACCTGGATACAATCTGAGATTTCAAACATTCCTACCTGGACACAATCTGAGATTTCAAACATTCCTACCTGGATACAATCTGAGATTTCAAACATTCCTGCTTGGATACAATCTGAGATTTCAAACATTCCTACCTGGATACAATCTGAGATTTCAAACATTCCTGCCTGGGTATAATCTGAGATTTCAAACATTCCTACCCAGATACAATCTGAGATTTCAAACATTCCTACCTGGATACAATCTGAGATTTCAAACATTCCTACCCGGATACAATCTGAGATTTCAAACATTCCTGCCTGGGTATAATCTGAGATTTCAAACATTCCTACCCAGATACAATCTGAGATTTCAAACATTCATACCCAGATAAAATCTGAGATTTCAAACATTCCTACCTGGACAGAATCTGAGAATAAAACATTCCTACCCAGATAAAATCTGAGATTTCAAACATTCATACCCGAATAGAGTCTGAGATTTCAAACATTCCTACCTGGCAGGGCAGTGGAATAACTGAATTATTATTTTGAAATAGTATATTGAAATTGAAATATTATTTTGACATATTGTATTGAAATGGAAATATTATATTGAAACTGAAATATAATATTGAAATATTGAAATGGAAATATTATCTTGAAATGGAAGTATTATATTGAAATATTATATTGGAATATTCAATAGAAATAGAAATATTGTATTGGGATATTGTATTGGGATATTGAAATTGGGATATTGAAATTGGGATACTGAAATTGGGATATTGTATTGGGATATTGTATTGGGATATTGTATTGGGATATTGAACTGGAATATTAAACTGGGATATTGTATTGGGATATTGTACTGGGATATTGAAATTGGGATATTGAATTGGGATATTGCATTGGGATATTGAATTGGGATATTGAATTGGGATATTGAATTGGGATATTGAATTGGGATATTGAATTGGGATATTGAATTGGGATATTGTATTGGGATATTGAAATTGGGATATTGCATTGGGATATTGAATTGGGATATTGAATTGGAATACTGTATTGGGATATTGAACTGGAATATTGAACTGGGATATTGCATTGGGATATTGTATTGGAATATTGTATTGGGATATTGAATTGGAATATTGAATTGGAATATTGTATTGGAATATTGTATTGGGATACTGCATTGGGATATTGAATTGGGATATTGAATTGGGATATTGAAATTGGGATATTGAATTGGGATATTGATTTGGGATATTGCATTGGGATATTGAATTGGAATATTGAATTGGAATATTGAATTGGGATATTGATTTGGGATATTGAATTGGGATATTGCATTGGAATACTGTATTGGGATATTGAACTGGAATATTGAACTGGGACATTGCATTGGGATATTGCACTGGAATACTGTACTGGAATGGAAATATCTCAGCCTCTGTGTCCAGGAGGGCCCATGCAGAGGAAGGGAGCCGCCTGCCCGGCCTGGGCCCCCCGTGTGGCTCTGGGTGCTCTGGGAAGGGAAGGGGAGCAGCAGGGGAGGGCTCAGCTGGCCCTGCCCACGCTCACCTGGGACTCCTGGCGCACGCTGACCTCCTCCCCGCCATCCTTCTCCACCTCCTCCTTGCTTGGTGACCTGGACACGTATTTGGTTTTGTTCACAGACTCCTCCACCACCTTTTTTTCTGATTCCTTCATAATTTCCAGGGACTCCTGTGCCGTGTTGCTGTTGGACATCTTCAGAGGCCTCCGCCGCAGCGACGGGCACCTGCAGGGACGAGGGACAGCTCAGCACTGAGCTCCTCTCTGCACACAAACTCTTCCAGACTCAGGCTGGAATTTCCTTGGAGCCCACCACGTGCACAGATCCCAAATCAAGCCCTCAGATTGTGATGGACAAAAGCTCTCTGACAGTTCAGAGTTAGAAAGTGGATGTTTGTTGTGGGATAACTCCCAAATAACTCTGGGACATCCCATTCCCAATATGAATATTGATCTAGCACCAATATCCAAAAACTCTCTAAGAGTTTAGAGTGAGAAAGTGGATGTTTGTTGTGGGATAACTCCCAAATAACTTTGGCCCATCCCATTCCCAATATGGATTTTGATCTAGCACCAATATCCAAAAACTCTCTAAGAGTTTAAAGTTAGAAAGTGGATGTTTATTGTGGGATAACTGCCAAATAACTTTGGTACAGCCCATTCCCAATATGGGTATTGATTTATGGATTTTGATATCCATAGATATCAATTCAATCCAAGTATTGAATACCCAAAATGCAAATCCATATTCATAACTTTGGTACAGCCCATTCCCAACATGGATTTTGATCTAGTACCAATATCCAAAAACTCTCTAAGAGTTTAAAGTTAGAAAGTGGATGTTTATTGTGGGATAACTCCCAAATACACACTGCAATTTACAGGTGATTACAAATCTATATCTTTTCTATATCTATAGAATATAGAATCTATATATTTTATCTATACAAGTATGGAACACCCAAAATACAAATGCATATTCAGAACTTTGGTACATCCCATTCCCAACATGGGTATTGATCTATGGATTTTGATATCCAAAATCTATGGATTTTGATATCCATAGATATCAATTCAATACAAGTACTGAATACCCAAACTACAAATCCATATTCATAACTTTGGTACATCCCATTCCCAATATGGGTATTGAGCTATGGATTTTGATATCCATAGATATCAATTCAATCCAAGTATTGAATACCCAAAATACAAATCCATATTCATAACTTTGGTACAGCCCATTCCCCGCCCCATATGGTAATTAGTTCAAAAGCCATTAAGCATGGTAATTAGTTCAAAAGCCATTAAGCATGTGCAGTTTGTTCCTTGAAATGGGGTCCCTTTCATGGGGAGGGGTCCCAAAATGAGGAAATAAACGAAGTCTTCCTCGTTCTGACCTTTCTACCCTTTCAATGCAAATCTGACAAATGAACCCTTGGTAGAACTCCCATTCCCCATCTTCAATTGGTTTCAGAACAGAGGAGCCCTACAATTGTCTGATGTTCCTAAAAGCCATTTATCAGTTTCTATATTCTCCATTAGAAACCCAGCTAACCAAACATTGTGTTGACAAGCAATCAATTATTAATTAACTACTAACTCTTAACTTCATCATGGCCTGCCCATTTATTTCAATGAACTCCAATAAAGCTTACCTCTAAATAAAATCTTAGCTCCTAAATCTCCAAATTCCTTCAAGTTCATGTCTCAAGATCAAGCCTGCCCACCCTGGCTGCAGCCCCAGCTCGAGGGCTGGAGCAGGAGCCCCGTGGTTCTCACCAGGATTTTGGAGGCACCAGGGCTGGACAAAGCCCCTGAGGCAGAACAGAGGTGCTGAGGCAGGTGAGTGATGGAGACAGAGACACTGAGGGCAGCTCTAAACCAGCCAACATCACACAGGGGAAATAAATTCCAACAACCACAGGGCCAAACCAGGGCCAAACCAGCACCAAAAATCTGCATTTCCCCAGATCCCAGGCCAGGTCTTTTTGTGATCAGTCAAATCTTTTGTAATCAGTCAAATCTTTTGTGATCAGTCAAATCTTTTGTAATCAGTCAAATCTTTTGTGATCAGTCAAATCTTTTGTAATCAGTCAAATCTTTTGTGATCAGTCAAATCTTGAGTGAGAAAACAGCCTTGAACTCCAAACAGGCTCTGTGAGATAAGGTAACCCTGATATCTCCTTCTGGGCAGGACAAGAGGGACTCAAATTACAGATTAAGACAGAAATTCTTCATAAAGTTGCATTTAATTTGATTAGCAAGAAGCAGAAACTGGAAGCACCTCTGGGTCAGAGTGGAGCCTAAACCAGCCAACATCACACAGGGGAAATAAATTCCAACAACCACAGGGCCAAACCAGCACCAAAAATCTGCATTTCCCCAGATCCCAGCCCAGTTCCTTTTGTCATCAGTCAAATCTTTTGTCATCAGTCAAATCTTGAGTGAGAAAACAGCCTTGAACTCCAAACAGGCTCTGTGAGATAAGGTAACCCTGATATCTCCTTCTGGACAGGACAAGAGGGACTCAAATTACAGATTAAGATAAAAATCCCTGATAAAGTTGCATTTAATTTGATGAGCAAGGAGCAGGCAGCAACTGGAAGCACCTCTGGGTTAGAGTGGAGCCTAAACCAGCCAACATCAAATAGGGGAAATAAATTCCAACAACCACAGCTGGGCTCTGCCCCAGGGCCAAACCAGCACCAAAAATCTGCATTTCCCCAGATCCCAGGCCAGTTCCTTTTGTAATCAGTCAAATCTTTCATAATCAGTCAAATCTTGAGTGAGAAAACAGCCTTGAACTCCAAACAGGCTCTGTGAGATAAGACAACCCTGATATCTCCTTCTGGGCAGGATGAGTGGGACTCATTATTAAATTACAGATTAAGACAGAAATTCTTGATATATTTGAATTTAGTTTGATTAGCAAGGAGCTGGCAGCCCCTGGAAGCACCTCTGGAGTTTAGAGTGGAGCCTAAACCAGCCAACATCACACAGGTGAAATAAATTCCAACAACCACAGGGCCAAACCAGCACCAAAAATCTGCATTTCCCCAGATCCCAGCCCAGGTCTTTTTGTGATCTTTGTAAAAGATTACAGAAATCTTTTGTCATCAGTCAAATCTTTTGTGATCAGTCAAATCTTTTTGTGATCAGTCAAATCTTGAGTGAGAAAACAGCCTTGAGCTCCAAACAGGCTCTGTGAGATAAGGTAACCCTGATATCTCCTTCTGGGCAGGACAAGAGGGACCCAAATTACAGATTAAGACAAAAATCCCTGATAAAGTTGAATTTAAAGTTCCCAACCCAAACCAGCCCAGGATTTCATGATTCTGAGTCTGGGCAAGGATTAAACCAGCTCCACGTGGGATGTGGCACCAGCAAACACCTCTGGAAGAGACAAATTCCCCAAAAAATAAAAATGGAGTTGTCCTGGTTTGAATTTTTTAGGAGCCTAAATCAGAGCAAGGCTCGAACAAAACCCCTCATAGCAGAAAACAGCTGTTGAAAAACTGGTTTTTAATTCCTTTGGCAGAATGTGGCTGAAACAAGAGCCAGAACTCACAGAGATTTATCAGCTCCTGCCTCTGATATTCCTGGAGAATTCCCCTTTAATCTGCAGAGCTGCTGAACACAAAATGTGCATTTGACATTTATGAAATTACTGGAATTGGTTTCAGGCAAAGAAAGAAGGAAAATGCAGTGAGCTGCCTCCATCCCATGGATTTTTACATGGAATTTTAATAAATTTTTTTTAAAGACATGGAGGGGAGGAGGGAAAATGCCAGATCCAGCGGGGAAATAGGGCAGGAGTGACACAGGGAGGGAAATATCCCAGAAAATTTATGGGGAAAAGGAAATATCCCTGAAAATTCATGGGGGAAAGGAAATATCTCAGAAAATTCATGGGGGAATGGAAATAGCCCAGAAAATTAATGGGGGAAAGGAAATATCCCGGAAAATTTATGGGGAAAAGGAAATATCCCAGAAAATTTATGGGTAAAAGGAAATATCTCAGAAAATTCATGGGGAAAAAGGAAATATCTCGGAAAATTCATGGGGAAAAGGTCCAGGGTGGGAAATGTCCCAGAAAATTCATGGGGAAATAGAAATATCCCAGAAAATTTATGGGGGAAAAGGAAATATCCCAGAAAATTTATGGGGAAAAGGAAATACCCCAGAAAATTTGTGGGGAAAAGGAAATATCTCAGAAAATTTATGGGGAAAAGGAAATACCCCAGAAAATTTGTGGGGAAAAGGAAATACCCCAGAAAATTTGTGGGGAAAAGGAAATATCCCAGAAAATTCATGGGGAAAAGGAAATATCCCAGAAAATTTATGGGGAAAAAGGAAATATCCCAGAAAATTCATGGGGAAAAGGTGCAGGGAGGGAAATATCCCAGAAAATTTGTGGGGAAAAAGGAAATATCCCAGAACATTCATAGGGAAAAGGAAATATTCCAGAAAATTTATGGGGAAAAGGAAAAACCCCAGAAAATTCATGGGAGAAAGGAAATATCCCAGAAAATTCATGGGGAAAAGGAAATATTCCAGAAAATTTGTGGGGAAAAGGAAATATCCCAGAAAATTTATGGGGAAAAGGAAATATCTCAGAAAATTCATGGGGAAATGGAAATATCTGAGAAAATTCATGGGAAAAAGGAAATATCCCAGAAAATTTATGGGGAAAAGGTGCAGGGAGGGAAATATCCCAGAAAATTCATGGGGGAAAGGTACAGGGAGGAAAATATCCCTGAAAATCCATGGGGAAATGGAAATATCCCAGAAAATTCATGGGGAAAAGAAAATATCTCAGAAAATTCATGGGGGAAAGGAAATATCCCAGAAAATTCATGGGGAAAAGGTGCAGGGAGGGAAAATATCCCAGAAAATTCATGGGAAAAAGGAAATGTCCCAGAAAATTTATGGGGGAAAAGGAAATATCCCAGAAAATTTATGGGGAAAAGAAAATATCCCAGAAAATTCATGGGGGAAAAGGAAATATCCCAGAAAATTTATGGGGAAAAGGTGCAGGGAGGGAAATATCCCAGAAAATTCATGGGGAAATAGAAATATCCCAGAAAATTTATGGGGAAAAAGGAAATATCCCAGAAAATTCATGGGGAAAAGGAAAAACCCCAGAAAATTCATGGGAGAAAGGAAATATCTCGGAAAATTCATGGGGAAAAGGTGCAGGGAGGGAAATATCCCAGAAAGTTC